AAGATCAAGAATATTGCTTGAACATCTTAGGTTATTATGAAATACCTTATCCAGTGTTAGGAATATGATGAAGACAACCCCCCAAAACAGGTAAAATATACATGAAATTTCGAGAGAAAAAAACAGCATTCTACAGTAATAACCTGTATTTCCCGGTTCCCCATCTAGGTAAAAGAGAACTACAAAAATCATGACGCTACATGAAACCAAACTTTTTCTAAGTAGATAGCTTGTTCAGTCTTGGCAAGTCTTGTTCTGCGCTTTCACATAAAACATATTTACATCTCTTCACATATTACATTTCTGGCTTTATACCAAGTTGTGCTCCGCTGCATAAAACTTATCATTATCATTAATGGTAACTGGGCCATTAATTGTAACTTCCAAAGAAACCTTGATATCATTGGCTATTGAATGATGTTGCCATGGTGATAATATTGATGGCAAATGCACCATCAGTGGTAAGTTTTATGCAACTGGACCTAGGTTTCGATTCTTACCGTTATTTTTTGTTTAAATCTCCTTGCTTTAGTCTGACATATACCTCTTGTACTACCTGGTTTATCAGACATAGTATGAAGGAAGTCCTTGATGTCGTAAGATCCAGGGCCTAGATTCCTTGTCTGTAAATATGATTAATTAAACTTGATTAGTACACGTACTATAATACAATGTCTGTTGGGACACAATATGATTAACTCTGCTTTTCAGTATATGGGTTAATGATCTTGTGGCTTTAAACAGGTAAATTAATTTCTATCCATTTCTAATCAACTGCCAAGAAGTTTGGATAAACCATTCCTAAGTATTCTGGCCTCCTATCACATTCTGGGAGAGAAGTTGAACGTACATAATTGTTATTACCGGTTCTGCTGAATCAGATCGTATTTTAGCTCAGCTCTAATGTATGCATAAGTTTTATTGAGTTGCTATACAATCTCACTGCAGTATTGTGAAAGATCTCCTGCTGAAAAGCATGTGTGATTAAACCATACATGATGTGTGTCTTATGGTTTGTAAGAGGGAGGAAGGTAGGGAGAGAGAGAGGGGGAGGGAGAGAGGGGGGAGAGAGAGAGGGGAGGGAGAGAGGGGGAGGGAGACAGTGGGAGGGCTGGAGAGAGAAGGAGGAAGGAAGGGATATATATAGAGAGAGAGAGAGATACAGAGAGAGAGAGAGACAGAGAGAGAGAGAGAGAGAGAGAAAGAGCAATCAATCATATGACTTACAATGCTACGTTTCTTTTCCCACTGCTCTTTGTGAAGTAGATGAGGTAATGCTGCCATACGAGCAGTCTCATATGCTCTAGACCATCCTGGACCTGATGCTTTCCTTGCTACCTCGTTGGCATTAAAACTTCCTACTTCTACTGCATACACTCCGGGACCTAACTTCCTTTTCTGAAATCATAGGAAAAACAAGTTTAAGTTTGGTCAAGGCAAACTGAAGTAAAACTGCATAATGGAAGGAAACATCTTTCTTAAACTGATGTGCTACTATTAAAAATGGTTAAAACAGTTATCAAATTTGTTCATTGATTAAATATAATCAACTTATCGACTCAAATGAGGAAATTGCATGAATGAATATATTCATAGGAGAAAATTTGAAACTGATTTATCTTGCCACTTTCAAAGCTAATAGAAGAAAATGTATTATTGGTATTATTGATATGATCAAACCTTGAGTTGACAAACACGACTGTTTATGTCATTTAAATTATTTATTGTAGAGGAATGAGTTAATGAATCAAACTTACCAGATTGTGCATAGACTTCTTATCATACCACACCTGTGTGTAGGTACCAGGCATTTTACTCTGTGGATGTACGCCAGATACATCAAACCTATAACAAAAATATTAAAAAAATCAAACATGAAGTCATAATTCCTTTATTATATTCCTTTCATAAGGTTGTTATCTCTATTGGAATCAATCAAATTAATAACACGCTTGTATGGCTGCCTTTCATTAAGAATAAGGGGTGTGTATTAAGATGGCTTCAGGTCTCATTAATAAATGACCCCATCCTTTAAAGCCCTAGTACCATGAAAAAAATGAAGATCAGTGTAAATTGTAGGACAGAAACCCTTGTGAAGCATAATTTAATAAAATCCGTTCTTCACAATAAGCATCCGTAGATTTGATATTGGACAGTTGTGAGACCAAAAATGGAAATCCAGTTCTTTATAGAATAATAAAAAAATTATAATTAATAAATTTTAAAAAATGATATTTGCTGAATGAGAGTAATATGCAGAGCATCCCTTTTCATATCGGTAATTAGTTTTATCTTTGTGTTCCAGACAAAATATTGAAATATATCATGTACATAGACCAAAATAAACTTTGACAAAACTCAAAAGGCGTAAATTGCTCGGGGTGTTTCTCTCATGAAATGATCACCCAGTAAATGAACATTATAGACCTAAAGTTTTCCTTTTCATCTTAAAATGTACACGTCTACCTGGATGCATGAAGCCCGGAGGATATTAAATCATAATAGATCTATATATTAAATACTAGTTAGTCTTACCTGGCTTTCTGCGTGCCGAAAGGCGCGCCTTGGAAGGACTTCACGGAAGCAGACATAATCCTCACCGAAATTGTATCTGTTACTCAGTTAAAAAAAGACAAAACCACACCAAATGTCGAGCCTTTGTGATGATACTGCACACGATTAAATCTTTCAATATGCTTTCATATAAAACGTCACATTTTAGTTCTGAAGTATTATTTCAAATATATATACACTGTACATGTATATATACCGATCGCGGGGACTGAGCATTGTACGCGAACAGGTGGATTTGGTAGCGATGATCCACATGTTTACAAACTTGGGGTCAAGCTTGCTACGGTTGCCATAGTGCTCATTTGCATATGAATGGATGCGCACTTTGGCGAGATCCGCCCACTGTGCTAGTCTACGTCGCAGCACAAAGCGTCATTTCCCCCTCTTTTTTTTTGGTGGGGGGGGGGGGGGGGGGGGGGTGAGGGGTTTTAAGTTTTTTTTAAGTTTTACTATGTTTTTGTTTTTGTTTTATCTTTAGTCAATGATTATTGCTGATCCATGGATTGGAGAAGAAGATTTCGGGTTAATCTTTTTCTTTTCGCGGCATCCATGTGACTCTCTTCAAAATGCTCTCTTGTCATGTTTTCACTGATTTTCTTTGTCTTTGCCGAATTAATACTAATAATACAACAAATAATAACAAAATCATTTAGACATATCCCTGTGTTTATTGGAAGTGAGAAATACAACATGAAAGAATAGCTGGTTCTAAACTGAATTCAAGTATCAGAATCATAATAATAGGGGGTGTTTTTTAATTTTGTTTTAATGTTTATAAAGTTTGCCAAGTATACCCGAGGCTATAAAAAACATTTCGATTTATAAAGAAAGAAGACCGGCAACATTGGTGCGTGGATAACATTATGACGTATGGGTGCGTAACAATAGAAAGCACAATGGCGCATGCGTATAGCATATTGCTACATTAAACAGCTGCCAGAAGAGTAGTATAGTTTCCTCAGACTCTCTTTCTATTTTTTTATAAATTTTGTCTCGATCCCTCTCTTTTGTTTATTCTCTCTTTCTCTCACTCTCTTTCTCTCTTTCTCTCTCTCTCTCTCTCTCTCTCTCTCTCTCTCTCTCTCTCTCTCTCTTTTCTCTCCTTCCATCTTTCTCTCTTAGACATTCATCTAAAGTCCATTTCTCCTCGATCGCCAATCTACACAAACAACACACACTCGCACACAACCTCTCTCTTGCCCTCTCTTTCTCTCTCTTCAAATTCGATTACTTCTATACAGACAATTCTCCACAGGTTACTTTGGACACAACACGTATTTGAAATCAGCCGACAAACAGTTTGTTTTCATCACGGGGCGTGTATTTATTTGAAAAGATTTTCACTGATTCCCAAATTTCATGTCTTTAATAAAAAAAATCGAAATCTAAAAAATCTATTTCCATTGAAGAGCTACAAACCTTGATAAATCAAAGTAGATTTGTGTTGCCAAGAGACAGACTATGCACCAGATGTAACATTCATTATAATATTTGCAGTCACCTGTCCATATCGTAATTACTGCTTATTATGAGCTATTGACTAACAGTGGAATAAAACTACTTTCACATGAGTTACAGAATATTAAAGATGGCAAGTGTCCGAAATGCTGGCAGTTGTCGTTCTTTTTTTCTCTCCACATAAAGCATCATATTTTCACCCTGGGATTGAATATTAATAGTAGGCCTACCTCGATATGTACTATCAGATTGCATAATAATTGTTTTAAAACGACAGCCGTATGTTGGTGTTTAGGATAATATTCTTATATTCCATGTCGTTGAACTCTTGTATTTGTGTATGCACATGATATTATTCCAATTTGTTACTAACTGCATTAGTGAATATATAGCCAGCTTTTTCTTCTTGAGTCGGGGATGACAAAATCTCTGAATATAATCTGTGTTACCTCCTGCATGCCCCCTTTGGTTTGCTATATATACGCTAAATCTATTTACATTATATACAAGCAAAATGAAAAGTGAAATCTCTGAACATATTGATGGACTTTATTAGCCCCTGCCCCCCACCCCCCCCCCCCCCCCCCCCCCGTTAGTTGTCTACGCTAATTCAAATACATGTACATCATTATATACGCATAGGCCCGAATTCGACAACCTCCTTTGTGAATTCGGGCCATAATGTTGGAGCCCTATATGAAAAGCATGAAATAGAGATTGGATTAGTCTTTGATGAGTGATGACCGTTATACCTGACTGCTAAGAAAGCATTGTGTATGCTTCATGTTAAATAAAGCGGCCTGAACATTGGCATAGGTGGGAGGCGGTTTAAAAAGAAAAGCAAACAATCTGTTTTATTTATCACTTTTATTATCATCAATAATGAAACTTTCATTGCATCTCATGCATGAAAGTTGTAACTCTTTGTGCAATGCAATCGAATTTTACGCAAAAATATGTTAAGTATGTTCGACTTTGTTTTGTTTTAATTTTGGACTTATTTAAACGTAACATTGTTTTATGCAAAAAGCTCTTTTTCAATTGAGATGGATAGGTTGTTGTCTTTATTCAACTAGAGCTCCAAATAAGCATTTTTTGAGACCAAGATTTCTCTCTACACAGACCACTAATTAGCATGATAATTTAAGGTCTCTGTGCTACCTGTTGATAAGCGCCTCTCTCGTCGCCGCCTACCACCGTGGTCGATGAATTCGAAGACGTATCGACGTGGTAGCTGACGACAGCCTGGGCGAGGCGGGCATCGCAAAACCTCTTCTCAAAGTTAGCAAAGACAGTATTATAGGAGTCTCGGTTACGACGAAGACATGAAGCCAGAAGGCGATCGCATTCACACAGTCTGAAGCCACACTCTGTAGATGGGTCACTCAATGATCCAGCTGGCCATCAAACAAAACATAAATTGTAATATTTCAGTTAAATGCTATAGTTTGCTATTAATGTAGTTATAATTCTCGCAACTAAACCTATCTCCACCTCATTATAAAGATATGCAAGAGAACATTATGAATGACTTTACGGCATCTATTAAATGCCTTGCCGATAATCTTAAATCGCTGTTAATTGTAAGTCCCACGCCCCCCCCCCCCCCTCCCCACTACCTTTCATTGTTAGGGTCGTCGATACAAAATAGCGGAATATCATCAAACGTACTGACGCGTCTCTAAAATGAGATTTTATTCCCTTTTTTTCCGAGCGAGAGAGATGCGAAGCGAGTTTTGACAATATTATCACAATTTATTTTTGTTAACAGGTGATGAATTTTAGAGCCAGTTTGCTGCTTCGTTTTTGCCCAGATGGACTACACAAATGGTGTCGGGGCTATACCTTGATATCCTTATCTTTCTATGCTCATTACTCCGCCAGTATACATTTTCTTCCAAAATTGTTTGGCACATGTAATCTTGAATATTCAGTGTAAGTTTCGTTTGATTCTGTGAGAATTCATTTTCTTTAATTTTTACCAGAACTCAAGTTTATCTTTAAGGGAGGAATGGAGAGAAGGAACAGACGGGTAAAGTAGAGGAGCAAGTAGAGATGGGTAAAGAGAAAAGTTTGAATGAGAGGAAACAGATTATAACTAAGATAAACTGGATGGAAGAGGATTTTACGTACCACAGACAATGTTGCCATTTCCTGATGCACAGCCTTGTTTCGTATACTGATACGAAGAGAAGTATAGTCCACAATGATCATCTTCTACAGTCTGGTAGCAATTATCATGCTCCATACAACACCTATATAATTATAATAGACATAATCAAATCACCTCACATCCATACAGCAGTTCGAATCTTTTTGTATAATATTTTGATTTGATTTTTATTTCTGCATTTTTTCCAAATAAAATACAACTGAATAACAAAGAACATATAAATGTAAGGTATAATACAACATAAACAAACAATAATTTCTTCATGTCAAAATGTGTTTTTTTAAACATAATATATATACATATAATAACGAAACTTAATATTTCCATAACATATTATCATAAATTTAAAGTATTATCCGAACTATTCTGTTGGAAAAGTGCAGGAGACCGCAATCATAAGCAAAACTTGACAAGGATGTCGGCCTCGAAAAAAAATCTTAAGGTAAACCTTAAAATATGATATGATATAATGATATGATACAATATGATATGAAATGATATTGTATTACATGTATATCATATTGTATTATGTTATCTGATATTATATCATATCGTATCCAATACAAACATCTTTGGGTAATGCTATTGATATCAGAGTGTACTATGTTTTATGATAAGCCTCTTTAGAATGAATAAAGAGAGTTCACCTTTTGCTTGGATGCAAATGCGATACATCTTGATTATGTTGTCATGATGGTATATAGCGAGTGTACACTTCAAGTGGAAGAAGTTTAGTGTATATCGTGGGTTTGGGAATTTCGTTCGTATCCCCTCTCAGTCCTCTGAATAAATACTAAATCGATACGTAATCTAAAATTAAGAGAGAGAGAGAGAGAGAGAGAGACTGAGAGAAAGAGAGAGAGAAAGAAAGAAGGTAAAGTGAACTGTAAGACCCACCTGTCTACGTCATCTACTGGCTTTCCGCTGCCCCCGAGTCCACACCAGCACCCATAGCCATTGAAGTCAAATCCACTCCTACCAGTGTAGCAGCTAATTACTGTGTCGAGCTCCCATAGGGAGCGTTTTTCTTTGGTAGGGGCGGCATCGACTAAAGGTAGAGATAACAACAACAACAACAAAGTAAAACATTTTGATAACAAACGAGACGGAATTAATACGCTATAGCCCATCACCCCTTCAGTTGAACAGGCACGTTTAATCTATTCATCAAGGAGACTAACGACTATATTACAGAAAATTAGGACCACAATATATTTTGCTTTAATTCATGCATATGCAATATCCTGTGAAGGTATTTTTCCTTATGTGTATGTGTATCTCTCTCTCTCTCTCTCTCTCTCTCTCTCTATAATATTTCATAGCATGTATTACTAATTATACTCGACCAGTAAGACCAATCAATCAATCAATCGATATTAATTATATGACAAAACAATTCAGCAATTAAGCAAAATATTTATAGATCTATATTCATCATTTATCAATTAGTTGAATGGTTAGATCATAATGCAGGCCACTCTTTATTTATTTTACATGGTCGGAACTCTGAATTGTTATGAACATCGCAATTAGTAGGCTAGCTACAGCCAAGATAATTCGAGCTAAGTATTAATATCGGAGAATTTAGATGTACTAGATGTACAAGTGCTTTACAAAATACAATTTCCACTATCCCACTGACTTCAAGTACAAAGTAATCTAAATTTTAGCCTTATGATATTCTTACTGGTTAAGTTTGTTATTTGGAATAAAATCACTTTCTTGAAGATAAACAGCTAAATGTAACTTAAAACCAAGTATTTTCCCTATTCTTAATCAAACTTTCATGACACCAGGGTATAGGCATATACTAGTAAATCTTTACAATTCTTGTTCTCATTTTTCGTTCATTTTGTTTCCTTTTATATATTGTATGTATTTTTTTCTTGTATTTGTGACCCTATATTCGTTTTTGTATTTGTTATGGTGGTTATTGGGCGTATTTGTGACCCGTACGTGCCTTTTCTCAGTTGAGAAGGATTTATCTTCTTATCTGTATTTCTCTTCTTCTGACAGAGGACGTCCTGCGGGGTCATTATTTTGGGGAATGGATAAAGATGAGTTGTACAATGACGAGTTCCGAGGAGGATGTAATAATACAATCAAAAGTTTGTCAATTTGAAATAATGTTGTTGTTGTTGTTGTTGTTGTTGCGATTAATGGCGTTTCCATCGTCATTCGATGATTTCCGCCAGGCAATGTGAGAGGGCGTAGTTACTGGTCCTCTCTTAATTCTTTTACTGTTGGATCGACGATCGTGACGTTGTGTTGTGCAATTAACAATGCCAGTAAATTGTTAGTAGTTATTTTCTGTATTGTTATTCGGCTTGTTATTTTAAAGAATTCGTTAGGAAGGAAAGGATGAGTGGTTGCATATTAGTTGCGATCAGTTCATTACGTTAGGACGTTAGTTTAAAGCCTCTCTCCGTATAATGAAGCAATTCATAATTTATAAGCAATAATATTATATATCGTTCTTTATATTCCTCAATATTTCCAATATTCAAGTTCACATGCGCCCTACAGGGCCCGCCTACGCATCAGAAAGAAAAAGAAAACACATCTGTAATGGAATCACACGATGCCCTTGAACGAGATGGACTGTGTCATGTACTTTGTATTAAGTCAATGTACTGATGATGTAAATTGAGGTTGGCATTTCGCCAGCCGTGTTCGTCAGAAAACGGAAATTCTTTAATTCTTTGTTGGAAAGGTTGAAAGCGTTGAAAGCTGATGATTTTCCACCTGCCTCTCTTTTCTCGGTATAAAGATATGGACCTAACACACAACAGGGGTACTACTGTGAGATCGCGTTATCTAGGATGCAGGACAAGGTCAGAGGTCGAACCTGGGACATTCTTGAGTTGGGGATCACATCAGTTTCTAGGCAAAGAAAAAAAGTAGTTTCCCAAGATTTGTACATGCATTCACGGCTAAAAGAAGGTCGAATTAGAGGGTCTCGTGACAAATAACTACATTCAATGACAATGTTATGCATCATAAAGGGTGAAAATTGAACAACTATAATGCATCCTTTGTAAAAAAAAAAAAAATGCAAATGGCTGCAGACTTATAAATTACAATGTACTTCGATTTTTGTTTTGGTTATTGCATGTTCGTGACTAAAATTAAATGTTTATCATCATCATATCCGACATAAATATCGAATAATTTAACAAGGAAATAAGGAAAGAGTGCATACTCTAGCTTGAAAGCAATTAGTTCTGCATATTATTCACTTAATGTTTAGGATGTTATAATATTAGGGTTGCCTTCCTCTGGAAACCAGTAATAGCTGAATCATAGTGGAATGTATACACTCCATGTAAACCAGTAAGTTAAATAACTCGTTTGAGTGTGGAATTCACTTTTGTAAGCGCGGACTAGCTGTTCAAGCATAATGACTTCTAGGACCCACTTTATTCTCTACCGTAATTAAGTTCTTTCCAGAGTAATTATGTCCATCCATGTAGGTTCAGTAGGTTCGTATAGAAAAAGCGAACATTTCCATGAGGTATTGTAGACATTACCAAAATATATTTTGGAGGATTACCAAAATATAATTTGGAGGATAAAGAATATTATTCTCATAACTTATAAAATCATGCTAATTATATTCACATTGACAAATTTTATATATAAATACGCATATATATAAATGTATATACACGTAATATTTATATACCGTCAGCGAATTTGATAGTAAACATCAAAATAAGTTTATGACAAGATTACGCCCTAACAAGACAAGAACAAAGTGTCGGGAAGTGGGGGGGGGGAGGATGGGGTCTTCTCTTTCGAAGGCAAACGCTAAAAATGAATATTCATGAAAGAGGACCGGCAGGAGACAACTTGTGATCGGTATAGTTACTATACAAACGAGTAATAATTTTATATGATATAAGATTATGATGATGATTCACAGTATTATGGCGCCAATTTCTGTTTAAACTCATAAAAGGCGCACTATCCTCCAATCGATGAAGTGAGTTTACCATTTGGCAAAACAGGTAAGTTTGGAGGCATGATTTACTATGGTAATGTGGATACACCACGGATAATCATGATGAATCGTACATAAACATGTAAATTGTCAATATGATATATATAACCGATCTATAGTATATTACACTAAAAGTGCGGCAATTTAGGGGTGACATGCCTCCATAAAATCTTTAAGACGATCGTCATCAAGTCGAAGTTTCGGAAACATTGCAAATATCAGTAAAGCACACAATCATAGCCTAAAATAATAATTGAACTCAATTATTATTTATCCTGCCTCTTTACAGGAGATGCAAAATATAAATAATAATGATTATTATTATTATTATTATTATCATAATACATGTAATAATACTAGGCCTGTGGTCCAACTGACATTTCGTCTCTTTCGTAAAGACCTCTACAAAAAAATATTTGGAATATGACATAAAAATATTACGGACAATCCGAAAGCGCTGTGAATGCTCTAAATTGAGACGTCACTGACTTAGAATAGTTTGAGTTCAAATTAGTCAATTAATTGACAAGCAGGATTTACAAAATGGCATAACAGTGAAATAATAATGGTTTAAAATGGAGAATAATGTTTAAATGGTTTTCTATAGGGCGCTCAACGTTTCTCTACTCTTTGTTACGTTCAACGCGACGGTCATATCAAAATCTTCAACGCAAACACAACATAATATAACTTACCCTGATACAGGAAAGCAAAGATGATTAAAGTTGCAAGTGATAACGAGACCATTGTTTCTTGATAATGCTGAGTCGATCCAAGTATAGAAATTGAGATGGAGGATGTGAAAGCTCGAGCAGGGTTGCGCCAGAGATCGAGAGTAGTAGTGTGGAAGAGTGTTTGGGTACGCTTGGCTTTATGTGTCCCGGGTTATGTGTACAACCGTTTCCGATTTTCCAATTTATGAATCACTCAGCCTCCTTGGGGAGGGGATGAGTGTATTCTATTCGTCTAGCCTAACGTCCAAACTCTTCCTTTAATACTTATCGAAATCAAACAAAAGGTTTTGAATTCGATTAATTTTATACCATGCCTAAACATGCAATCGCACTTCTGAAAAGCACTATGTTGATACTATCAATTAGCCCTTGTTAGCTCTTCTTTGTTCAACTGTTTTGTAGAGCCTATAATTGGTACAAAAGCAGTTTAATTATGAATTAGTGTTCGTGACAGGAAACCAATACTCAGAAGGCCCAGCGGCCCTAAGTGCTTTGGATCAGTGCTGTATACGTACAAAATCATGAGAGTCTCATTCTCAGACCCTCGATACCAGGATCAATTTACTTTATAGTCTCTGCGTGTACGTCTTCAGCATCTCCATTAATTTTGATTTTATAATAATCGCCACCAGGCGCGTACGCAGGGGGGGGGGGGGGGGGGGCGGGGGGTCGAACCGACGAACCCCCCCCCCCCCTCAATTTTGTTATATGTGTGTTTTGGAGGAACTTCCCCCCCCCCCCCCGCCCACAAATTTGTTTTTAATATTTTAAAACAAAGATGATTTTTAAAAAAAATTGGGGCTAAAGGGTGACCAAAAAAGGTGACCTTACCCCCCCCCCCCCCCGAACGAAATATCGGTCGACCAAATTCTCAAAATTTCAGGACCTAAATAAAAAATGTGCTCTTACCTTGTTGTGATAGTAACGCAATGTAGTTTGTGACTATAGGCTATTATATCTATTGTGAACTTGGAAAGTAATTGTGCAATATTTTTAAATTTTCGATAAAAGAGGATACCAGCCCCGCAGGTAGCTCTCTACATACATTATCATCTCGCTATTAGATCAGTAACAATCCCAATTCCATCCTACAGCCTACAGAGTACAGGCTACACTGTATAGGGGCTACACGTACTTTGCATAGCGGGTGATTTGGGAGAGAAACGTGCAGTAAAAAAGTGTATAAAATGAAATTAATTAGGCAACAGGTCGTTAATTCAGGGCTTTTACCCCCTGGACTAACACCTCCTAACTAACTACCCCCTAGGAAAATTACCCCCCCCCCCCCCCGTGCACAATTACCGTGACCACTGAAAATGATCCACTTGGACACTACCCCCCCCCCCCCCAACCCAGGACAAGCAAGGGCAACCACCCCCGGGGAGAATTCCCCCTTCCCAGAAAAATTACCCCCTATTGACATGTTAATTAAAAGGGAAGTAGTCTATACTCTGAAAATAAATTAGTTTTAATTAAAACATTTTTTTTTCGGGGGGGGGGGATCGTCCTCGTGGGAAATTGTCCACGGGCGATAATTTTCGGGGGTTTAATTGTCCCGCTGGTAATTGCCCGGGGGGGGCTGAATATGTCCAGGGGGTAATTGTCCTAGAACCGCATTTGATCACATCGGTCGCTGTTGGCCGCTGTTTAGGGACATTTCCCGCATGACGTCATAATTATACTCGTAGAATAGAAAGTTAACACCTGATGCGGACCGGTCAGTGAACGTAAACTCGTAAGGTACGCTCTATTGTGATTTTTCCAAATTCCTGTACTTGCTAACTTTTATTAAATTTAAAGATGAAAGCTGAGAACTCAAAATTTAGATATAACATTGACCTTACTATTTTCATTTAATTTTAGTCATATTTAGGAGAAGATATGGGGAAAACGGCTTAACCATCGATAGATCTATAAATGTTATATCATTGTCCCATATGTTGACAATCATGTAAGTTTCACTTGCAGCCTGTAATGTTGATCTCCGACATTGCGTCGCACCCAATCCCGGTACCCAATTTCATGGAAGAAGAAGAAGAAGAAGGAGAAGCAAAATATCCCTAAGTAAACATGGTCCGCTTTTTCAAAATTTAAGCAGGCAATGTGTGTTTTATATACTGCATCCCCGCCCATGTCAATTCTTATAAAGAGATTAAAAGCAAAGTGTATTTATTTGTACTACTAGTAGACTACTAGATCTAGGCCTAGAGGCAAATGAAATGTACCTGTCATAATTGCATGTGCCTGTCTGCATGTATCCATTGTTTACTTTATCTAGTGTATGTAAAGGGCTGATATCGCTTTACCAAGTTGATGTCAACTATGAAAACGATTAGTTCAGTGTAAAACTAAAGAAGTGAGCGGGAATGTCACAGAATTCTTGTGAGGATTTATCCATTAAATTCATTTTTTCTCTCCCTCTAAAGATCCTCAATGTTTTGTTAGCAAAAATGGTGTAATGCATCAAATATGTAATCAATACATGTTTCTGATTGTTCCAATGTGTAGATTGACTACCTGTAGAAGCAATGGCTGCTTGACTATGGCTGACACACAAGTGCATCGATCTGATACCCATGCCTCCACCATCCTCAATGGACTCAATAGACTGCGTAAAGATCACATCTTCTGCGATGTCCAGCTCCAGGTTGGTTCACAGTTATTCCAGGCCCATCGATTGGTCCTATCAGCTTGTAGTCCGTACTTTGACGCCTTGCTTACAAGTGGGCTGAGCGAGACTCATCAAGATGTCATCAACATACAGGGGGTGCAACCAAACATCTTTGAGCACTTGCTGGGATTCATATACACAGGTAAACTACTTCCTTCAGTCTGTAAACAGATAGACTTTTAATTGTTGGATACAATTTTGAAGTATAACGTATCCCATGTTCTTCTTTCTTGATGAAAGAGTCAGGGGCCTCCAGTGAGGTCATGTCACTGTCATAGTAATAACATTAGTGTCCACTAATAACATGTACTTGTTGCAAGCTGTCTGTTACATGAGCCGGGTAGGTTTGTTGACTTTGAGTTTAGTTTTAGTTTTAGGCATTGGGATGATTTTTCTTTGCGGCTGACAGCTTGATTTTTACTATCTGAAAATGAAAGGTGTCAATTATATATGGAAAGGGAAAGTAAAATTTATGTCTTTTTTCAACAGGTCACCTTGATGTTACTACAAGCAATGCCCAAGGGTTGCTGTTTGCAGCTGACATGTTTCAACTCAATGAAATCAAACAAATTTCTGCATCTTTTCTCAAACTTCAGTTACATTCTTCCAATTGTCTTGGTTTTTTAAGGTGAGCAATAACAATTCATAGTCGCTGTTCTAAAGTTACCAGTCATTGTATCTACCATTGAATGGCCAAGTCCTACAAAATGTCAAAAAATTAGTTTAGTGTCCTATAGTATTGCTTGGAATAAAGTTGACAGTCTCACACTGTATCACGTGTGACTGCATGCATTATCCCATAGACCTTGATGTGACTTGTGTAGTCCTTTTTGATTTTCTTTCCAAAGCTCTGTTCAATTCTGCAAACCCTAAAACATTCAAGTGTGACAATTTATTCCACTTAGTAAAATGAATCTTCCAGTTTTTTTTTTTAAAGGTCCAGCTCTTGTTATGTACAAATATTGTTTCAAAATTCACCAATCTGGCAGCTGGTTTAGACTACTTGGTATCATTTTATACAATACTTTTTTTGGTAAATGGCATGTACAAAAATATGATAAAAATAATGAGTGGCATTGAAAACTATGGGTATATGCCATATTGATTATTATCTTGTATCAAACTCTCCCCTTTGAGCTTTCTCTGTCCCAAAACATAACTAGATTTCTCTTATCCCTGCCCATGATTAGAATAATTTATTGACCAAATATGGATTCTTTATTCATGTTTTCATAATTTTTAATTTTGATAATTGAGTTCTTGTAATGATCTGCACAATCGTTTTTTTTTTAAATCAAGGGTCGAAACAACATTGCCTTGATATACTAAAATAAGAGTTTTTTCTTAATAAAGGAAAGTTCTGTTTACACTGATGTAGATGTATGCAACTGACAATAAAAAGGAACTAAAAAGCAATTAGAACACTTTGTGAACCAGAAAAGAAAACAAATTGTTCAATTAAAACTTTTGGGTGGCCTTCAGCTATAGTCCTTATGGTGGAACTTGAAAGACATTAATAAGTTTTGTCTTTGATAAGGCATGTATAATGTGTTGATGTAGAAATTCCCTTTAACCTGTTGTATAATCTTGACCAACACTGATGTTACTCTATTTTTATTTTGTCTGCTAGGTTTTCGCAGGCCTTAACTTGCCCAGAGCTTAGTACAGCAAGCAGAGCTTACATACACTCTAAGATTAGTGAGGTCAAAGGTGAAGAAGAGTTCTTTGACCTTGATGTAGAAACACTGATTGAGATCCTTCAGAGTGAGGACCTACGAGTGGACAATGAATATGAAGTCTTTGAAGCAGCAATGAACTGGATATCACATGATCCACCGAACCGACGGAAACATTTGGTGAGGGTTCTTGAGCCAGTAAGGATACCGATCATCCAACCTGCTCAACTCTTCAGGTACGTTGAGGAATGTAAGGATCTTAGCTTGAGGATTGCAACGGGAAAGCTCCTCCAGGATTACCATCCAAGAAGAAAGTCTCAGGCATCGACCAAAGTCTCACATGCTAAGTCTCTATTGCCTTCAAAGTATTACCAGCCTCGTAAAAGCTCCAGGAAGCGTTTGCTTGTGATGGGTGGCTACTGCAAGAAGAACAGTGAAGGGTGGTCAGGATGGGGCAACACAACAACCCTTAGTGATGTGGAACTTTATGATTCGTTTGATCAAACATGGCATCCCTTTCCTGCTATGCAGCAGCCACGTAGCGGGTTCGGTGCGGCTGTAATTGGTGGAACTGTCTATGCCATAGGTGGTGAGCATGAGTCTCTACTCTCACAGAATGTGGAAAAGTATGATGCGGTGGAGAATTGTTGGACGAAGATGTCACCCCTTCTATGCCCCAGGAGCTCTCATGGAGTGTGTGTGGTAGATAATAAGATCTATGTATTTGGAGGCTGGGTTGGTCTAGAGATGGGAGCTGACATTGAGAGATGTGACCCTGACGATGATGTATGGACAGTCCATGATAGGCTAGCATCCCTTAGAAGCAACTTTGGTGTGGTTTCTCATGAAGGTAAGATTTAGGTATGTTTTCATGTACATATAATAAAATAGAAGTCATCCTACATACATACAGTATATACATATTGATATTTATATAGTTTCTAAGTTTTTGAAGTTTTATTTTTTCCACATTTTACATTAAAAAAACAGTTGATATTTTTTTTTTTTTTTTTTTTTGTACAAGCGTATATTATATAAGAGTAGATTTCACACAAGAAAAAAAAAATTAAAAAATATAGCGCCTTTACATAAACATGCTCAAAGCGCTGTACATTAGTAAATAAAACAGAATGACAATACTGATATTTTTAACTGTCTTTTAATACATTATTGTATGTAGTAATCTCATCTTTTCTTGCATATATGAATGCTTCTCTAACTCATAAATACTAAAAAATAATCTCATTCTGCCCCAATGTATTTATCATTGGATAGATGTACCAAGGTTTCAAGATTATTTGTCTGTTTCTAGTGCAAATTCAATTTATACTAGTATTCAAAGGGTTGCCTTGGAGCTAATCAAGACCAAGGGGGTGTTTCACAAAGATCCTAAGTTGAACTTATCTCTAAGTTGGACTTAAAAATTATGGAAATGCGTTTGAAGCATCAAAATAAAATGCATTCAAAACCAAAAATTCAAGTAATTTAGACTTTTCATGAATTTCACATCAAGAACAATAAATCTTGCATTATAACAGAAAATATGAATGATTTAAATCAACATTTTAAGCCTTTTAAAATAACATTTACAAAATATTTTCAAAGATGCTAACGGCTTTCCATAATTTTTAAGTCCAACTTAGAGATAAGTTCAACTTAAAATCTTTGTGAAACGCCCCCCCCCCCCCACAGAAATTGTAATTTTGCAACGTGTTTCTCAAAGCAGCCCTTCCATCAATTGCTGACTATCATTTAGTGCGAAAATGCACGTGTGGCAAACCAGCAACTGTACAGAGAGCCAAAGAAAACAAACTAATAGCAGTTTTCTCAACTGTTTCAAACTTGGTGACCTTGGTACCATTTTCTGCCCTTTTTGCTTTCTACTGATACTGTACGTAGGTCTGGTATACCTTGCCGGTGGGGCTTCTGATACTGGTACAGAACTGAGGCTTGTGGAGAGCTACAATCCTGTTATCAAAGAATGGACTCAGCTTGCTAGCATGCGTACAAGACGATCACAGTGTGCAATGGCTGTATTAGACGATGCCCTCTATGTTGTAGGAGGGTACAACTCATCAAAGAATGTCCTATCATCGGTTGAAAGGTACTCTTTATTAGAGGTGAGTCCAGTTCCTATCATCTATCTCCAAAAGCTCTGAGGCCATCGGGGTAACATTGCTGTTGACCTTGAGATACAGCTAGAACTAGAACAACTGGAGGCTGAAACTTCCTGAGAACCTGCAGTTTATATTGTGAATAACACAAAGATTGATGCTTCCCAAATAACAACTTTTAGAGCTACAGGCAGATCCTTTAGTACTTTGTTTTGATATAAGATCCTTCTGTTCACCATCTCCCCCCTTTCTTTCTCTGTCTTCAACTCTTTGTTCTTACTTCTTCAGTATTTATAATAATGACTGTTTACCAATGTATTCAGTGTCAAGCCCAAAAGCGAGTTCTGTCAATTGCCTTACCATAGCAAAAAAAACAGACATTGATGGGTCTTAGTTCGTTTTTAAATAATGCTATGCGCCAAAAGTGGGTAAAAGTAAAATGGAAATACTGAAGTATTTATTCTGAAGAGAGACTGAGAGTAGAACTTAAAAAAGTTAGCTTAGATTCTGTACATATGGCCTTCCATACTATAACTCTCAATGTTATTCTCATAGGAACGTTTCTTTTAATTGGTTATTGTCAGTCTTATAATACCATCATTTTCACTCTCTTAGGACAAGTGGATTAAAGTGAAGTCCATGATAATGCCTAGAGCATGTGCTGGAGTGGCTGTAGCGCATGGTAAACTTTATGTGGTAGGCGGCAAAGGATCAAGTAGACCAAATACTGCCCCACCTACATTGGACACTATGGAGTGCTATGACCCTGAGACTGACATCTGGATTGACCTTGGTCGAATGACTGTAGGTCGTTGTGAGGCAGCTGTAGCAGTACTGTGACCCTGAGACTGACATCTGGATTGACCTTGGTCGAATGACTGTAGGTCGTTGTGAGGCAGCTGTAGCAGTACTGTGACCCCGAGACTGAAATCTGGATTGATCTTGGTCGAATGACTGTAGGTCGTTGTGAGGCAGCTGTAGCAGTACTGTGACCCTGAGATGGACATCTGGATTGACCTAGGTCAAATGACTGTAGGTCGTTGTGAGGCAGCTGTAGCAGTACTGTGACCCCGAGACTGACATCTGGATTGACCTTAGTCGAATGACTGTGGGTAGTGTGAGGCAGCTGTAGCAGTACTGTGACCCCGAGACTGACATCTGGATTGACCTAGGTCGAATGACTGTAGGTCGTTGTGAGGCAGCTGTAGCAGTACTGGGACCCTGAGACTGACATCTGGATTGACCAAGGTCGAATCACTGTAGGTCGTTGTGAGGCAGCTGTATCAGTACTGTGACACTGAGACTGACACCTGGGTTCTGATTTATTTCGTTATTCCACTCCGATCAATCCATTATAGATCATTTTTGTATGAATATGATGAAATGCCACATGAAGCACAACAAGATATTCTATTAGTTTATCAACTGCCTGTTTTTTTTTTTTTTACCTATTTCAATGTCCAAAAGCTTTTGTTGCATTCCTATCTAGGTGGGAATTGTCAAATGTTTGATTTGATTTGATTAATTCATTATTGAATTCTTTATCATTTCATAAATCATATATTTTCATGCACATGGATTTGAATTTGATGTTCAATTTTTCCAATACAGTACGATGCAAGTAGGGTTTAGAAGTCTCAGTTTGACTGTTCCCTGCTGCAAGTAACTGCTCTTATGGCCCATGCCTATAGATTTATGACAATACAGTGCATCCCAGAAAAAACGAAACCGAGAATTATCAATGTTTTATCATAACTTAATCACATTCATAATTAATAAATGACACATATTTGGAAAGCTTAGATCCTCCTCTTTCATTTGATGCAACTCATTATGATGCATATTTCACGCATGAGTGATTAAAATCAATTTGAAGAGAGGAAACCGAAAGGTTGTTTGGTGGGCGGTATCTGAATTTCAAAGAGAAAAGAGAAAGTTGAGTTTCTGCCCTTTCATATAACACCTCAATCAGGAAAAATTAGCAAGGAATGACAAAGTTCTGTTTTTTTAAAGTAGCCCTTACATTTTTATAATTTTGACAAACAAATTTGTTTTCACTGGCTGCCTGCCGTAGCAAAAAGCAGAATTGACAAAAGACTTAACTCCGTTTCGTTGACAATCAGCCATGCATGAAGTTTTTCGCCTACGGCTGATTGTCAACGAAACGGAGTTAAGTCTTTTGTTAATTGTTAATTTTGTTTGTTGATACGGCAGGCAGCCAGTGAAAACGAATTTGTTTAATCAAATTATGGAAATGTAAGCACTACTTTAAACAAACAGAACTTTGTTATTCCTCGCTCATTTTTCCTGAATGAGGTATCATATGAAAGGGCAGAAACTCAACTTTCTAGAAATGTGATTTTCTCTTTGAAATTCAGATACCGCCCACCAAACGACTTTTCGGTTTCCTCTCTTCAAATTGATTTTAATCACTCATGCGTGAAATATGCATCATAATGAGTTGCATCAAATGAAAGAGGAGGATCTAAGCTTTCCAAATATGTGTCATATGTGATTAAGTTATGATTAAACATCGATAATTCTCGGTTTCGTTTTTTCTGGGAAGCACTGTACAATTTCCTTATCTGACTTGTTTAGCTATCTGCTGGTGATTTTGTTTACAGATTGGCAATATTTATATATCTTCCTATCATGTTAATAATTCATTTTCATTTATCGATTCCACACTCTTTCACACTCATTCTAATCTTAGATGGAACAAAAATGTTTTTCTGTCAGGTTTTGTAATTTTCCTTTTCAATTCAGTATCATGCTATTCAATATCCGCTAACATGCACATGTATACATACATTTCATTTTGAAATGTGTCCATTCTATTTTCGTACTGTACACAAATTTACAATGACGCTTGAGGATCTAGCTAAATATATTTGCATTGATGATACATCAAGAAGTACTATTGATGTTTCTGAGTGCCAATAGTTTTAGCTTTTTCCGAGAATGAGTCATTGTATTTTTGTTTTATATCGTTCTACCTGTATCATTCCTTTGACACTTCTGTAATAACATGTACCGTACTCACATTCACATCACATTTTAAAAAGAAATACAAGAAAATTGCACGGCTCAAATAAAACATTGAAGGGTGTAAATATATTTAGCTGGCGCTATACAGGGTGAGTCAGAAAAATGTCCCACTTTCTAAAAGTTGTATTGTTTGAAGTATGAATATTTAATTATGGGTTTCATGATATGTCTTGATAGAGTTATCCTCCCAGTACATTTATGTACCATTTCCATTAGAATCCCTTCATGCATGACTGAACATCAGACAATCTTTACAAGACTGCCAGATTTCACTTGCGCCAACTTACTGGGTGAGGAATAAGGCATTGAACAAAGACAGTCAGACAGACAGACGGACACACTTGGGGTCCAAGAAAACGAGTAGTTTACTTTTTCCCCTAGGGAAAGGTCAACTATTTGTGACGTCAGTAATAAAAAATAAACTATTCAGCAGGAAACGTCTTTTGTAGTAAAACTATTCTTTTTCTTGTTGTGTACACTCCTAATGCAACAATCTTACATCTAATGGTATTTAAGGATATCACACTTTCCATTAGAGAATCGACATGTCTTGCCTCTTTCAAAAGATCCCTGAAAAACAAACTTTTTCCCTCAGTAACTTAAAGGTAAAGACCAGTTTTGGACCGCCCCCCTCTCAAAAAATGAAATGGAAGCTCTTATTTACCAATCATGTGAAAGAATACGATTTGACTATTACGTGATCATACAAATTTTGCTGAGAAACCGCCCACCATCATTAGTTTATCTATTGGTGTGTGAGAGATAAACGCACGTGTCGCGCATGTGTGTGTAGTCCCATATACATCTTTCTGTGCACAGTGCTTGTCACTTTACGAAGACTGGACCAAATTTCTTATCATTTTGATGATTCCAGAACCTTGCAGTACACACCAATACTTATATGCTAGATGATCAACCTTTTCTGGTCGATTCTACGTTTCTTTCACGATGCAATTGCATGACCAAAACTGGTTGTTGTTGTTGTAGGTAATAGTTTAATGGCGTTCATTCAGTATTGAATATATATGCCAAATCTTTAATTTTATAAGAAAATCAGTTATACATAAGAAAACTGAGGATAAAGATTTGTAATGATATAATTAATTAATCAAGACCATAACTGGTCTCTATCTTTAATGTGCTTTACCTAATTTCATGAATCTATGAATTTTATGTTTCTCTTCACATTCGGTAAATTTTTAAGCGCTATGGTACTTTTTGTCTTTAGCCCTCCTAAATGATCAATTTTATTAACCTCAAAGAGTTTGTTCTCAATAATACAGTGCAATAATATCATAGTACGAAATTGCAATTATATGTTACTATATATAGTATGTGATGATTTTGTAAATTACGATTGACAAACTATTGTTTGCATTAGTGGGTCATATCAGGGAGAACGGGATGAACATATAACTAAAAAAGTAACTCTTCTTTTACAGTGGAAACTCGTTATAATGTACACATTATTGAAATTGTACAAGAGGTCTAATAATTGTCAGTGTTTACAAATACATCTAGAGTGATCTTAGGTATTTGCATATTGCCCACTTCTCTCCATTGAAGAACTCTTTTTGAATGATTACTTGCATAAAAACTAAAGATATTGTGATGGCGTCTTATATGTAATAATGTAGCCTAGTATCTGTAGTACATTCGATATAAAAATTAAGAGGCAACAATAAATATTTACAAAGTAACAAATATTAAAAATGTCACATCATAATACATGTATATGTCCCACTTCACGTGTTCTCCCCTATCTTTTCTATAACTACCAGTATACACCAGTACTTATGAAATCTGTATATAGTATATTGCCACCGTCCCATATAGATTATATAAAGCATATATACTTGTTTATACAAATAAATATATATATACATATGTATAAGATTAATTTATGTATGTTCCTTTAATTGATATATCTCTGAAATAATGTATTTTGTTGAAAGATAGGTTGTGCTATTTGAATTCTGCTATAAAAGTTTACATCAATGATATTTGTAATTTTTAAGGAAACACATGTACTACAGTGTTATTCTTAGTTTGTCAATGATGAAAAAACATAACAAATAAATAGGAGATGGCATTTCCAATTCTAAGCTACAGTATCTTGTTTTAGTTATTTTCTTATTTGTTTATATTTTAATCATGGTTATATATGTATGTTGGATTATAATATACATTTATTAACTTGACATACATTCATTGTTCTTTAGGCAACTATGAGATTGTAGTCTGAGAAGATTATTTCTAGAATGGGTATTACAGGGTGTATCTGCCTTTAAAAAAGAAGTTCATTTGACAAATGATATATATTTATAGTAAGAAGTTGTGTGATGGTTGTAATGAAGAAAATTGAACCAAATCAGTGTACGTTCGTAAATAAAAGAAGAGATAGTTCTATCATGCTTTGGAAATTGCAATATGTCAACAGACTATACTTTGGTATGATCATGATTTACAATTTGTAAATTTGAATGGACTTTTAAATCGAGCTCTTGAGTACATAAAGGTCACATTAATCTTTTCGTTATAAAAAAATCACTTTGGGGGCAGTGATATAAACGTTGGTCTTAGAAGCAGTGTCTAAAAGTGAATATTTGCCACAGTGACCCTTTCGTAATGTACAGCCATAACACTTTATGCCATAATTTGATCCATGAGCTAAACTTTCTGGGATGAAATCCAGCCGACTTGGGGGTTTATTTGAATAGCATGGTTTGATCCCAACTTCCCGAGGGCGCTTTGTTGGTATGGTGCTCCTTGATCTGCAAAATGCTTTTGATACAGTTAATCATTGCTTCTTATTGAAGAAGTTACAACTAATGGGTTTTAATAAGGCAAGTTTAGATTGGTTCAGATCCTACTTATCTAATCGACACCAAGTAGTAGCCATTCGTTCCAAACTAATGCCTATAGCATGCGGTGTTCCTCAGGGAAGCATTTTAGGCCCAATTCTATTTTCAAGTTATATAAATGATATGCGTATTTGTATAAAAGATTTTAAACGTTTATTGTACGCAGATGACAGCGTACTACTCTATTCAAATCCTGATCCTAAATATATTGAGGAAAAGCTCAGTGAACAGCTGTCTACGTGTGTCGATTGGATGACTGATAATAAGCTTTCTTTACACTTGGGAAAAACAGAAAGCCTTTTGTTTTGTTCTAAAAGTAGTTCTAAAAAGTCATTTGAATTCAAAGTGTCACACAATAATCAAGTTATCAAGAGAAAAGATTCTGTGAAGTATTTAGGCATTGAGTTGGCTAGCGCAATTTCATTTTCATCTTTAGTAGAATCAGTTGTAAAAAAACAGCAAATTCTCGTCTGAAATTTTTGTACAGGTATCAAAGTTGTATGGATTTAAAAGCAAGACGTACACTCTGTTTTGCTCTTATTCAATGTTTATTTGACTATGCTAACCCTGCATGGTATAGTAACATAAACAAGTCAGATCAAAAGAAGTTGAAGATTATACAGAACAAAATGGTGAGATTTATCAACTATTCTGGTCCAAGAACTCATGTTGGCTACAGCGAACTTTCTAAAGCTGGTTTTCTTGAAGTCGACCAAAGATCAAAACAACTCGTATTGCATCACGTGCATAAAATATATCATACTAGGTCGAATCATTATATTCGATCCAACTTCGATCTTGCTACTGATTTACTTACCAGAAAGAGTAAGTAGTATTGGAAATTCGTTTTATTACGATGCCATAAAACATTGGAATTCCCTTCCCAATGGTGTAAAGGGAATAGAAAACGATGCTCATTTTAAGAGGAAATTAAAGGAATACCTAATACTTGACAGTCAGATAAGAGAAGTAAATGACATGTTATACATGTATGATTGAAATTTGTATTCTTCTGCCGGTTCATGCTTTTTCATTTTGTATATACTTATAGAAATTCTACAAATTCGTCATTATTTTCCTCTTCTTCCTCCGCCTCTTTTTCTTCTTCTCTTTCTTCCTTTTCTTCTTCTCCTTCTTCCTTTTCTTCTTGTACTTATTATCATTTCTATCATCAGTTTAATGTTGTTATTATTATTATCTTTAAGAAGTAATTCTTTTATTTTTATTTTCTGTCTGTAAATAATTATTACTTTTTTAAGTTATTAATTTTATACATGTCTGTAAGGGACCCCACTGGATATAAGCTCTCGAGCTTTCGTGGGTTATCCTGTTCAAGCTGACTTATTTCCGATCTGTTATTATTGTATATTGTTGTATGTTGGAAGCTTGTCGAATAAAAATCAATCAATCAATCGATCTGATAGAGGTAATTAACTTTGGTTGATTTAACTTGATTTTATTTGATTTTGTTTAATGTATTTTATTCATCATAGACTATAACACATAAGAAATGTGCATTCACTTTAAGCATGTTTAGTATTGTGGGCTTGACAGGTTGACTCTTCTGAATATAATTTAAAAAAATTTAAGTTAGTTTTATTCCATTCGTCATATAAAAAACATACATAATTATAACAATGATATTTACAGATAAGTAAAGAATTAACATACAAACAACATAACGAAAGATAAACACAAAATACAATTATATATACGGATGAGGAAACCGGCAAGAAATAACATTAAAGTCTTATGTGATGCTCGTGCCTTATGACATAATAAAGAATGTTACCCTTATCTATTACAGTTAACACGTTACACCTAACACCTAACACCTGTTTGCATATATATACGAATAATTTTATGGTATTCACATGAAACGTAATTGCTTGTATCTCTGTTGAAATGTATTTAAAGTTGGGCTTGATTTTACATATACACAAGACTATATCATTGTTATAACTTCCGGAGCCTGTGACCTACAATCATTGCTTTCTCTTTAGGCTCCATCATATTTCTTCCTTTATACAACTTAGTCTTAATATGTATTATTTCTTTTTTTTTTGTATAAACGCATCCTCAAATGAGTACAAAATGTAACATGCCAAATGTAATGATGTATTATACAACATGTGAAATATGAAAATAAACTGAAACTGAAACTGAAAACATGAGGAGGTAATTCATTCCATAAAATTAGTCATTTAAATAAAAAATAGAACTTTTAGAGACAGAATTTTGAATAAGTGGTCTATGAAAATGTGACGGTTGCCTATTTCCATATAAATGTATTTCAAAATATGAAATTTGTTTGAACGAGTATGGGGGAAATATCTTTTTGACATTAAAAAAAACAAATATGTCAATATTATAATCATTCGATTCAAATACATTAAAACATTTCAAACGAAGAAAATGAGGCTCTGTATGGGCAGGATAATGGGATCCAGAGATAATACGTATTGCCTTCTTTTATAATGTATATAATCTATTCATACAATAATCATTTGAATTTACCCAAACAGTATTGCAACAATTCAATTGTGATAAAAACAATGCATTGAATATCATTAATAAAATCTTATAAGGAAAATGTTTCAATTTATGTAAAATACCAACTACTTTCGAGACTATATTACAAATTGCTTCAATATGAACGTGCCATGACATTTTACAATCAATTTGAATACCTTAAAATGTCAATGAATCACAACACTATATAACATTTCCTTTAATATTTTACTTCTATATCATCAGTTCTAATGTTTTTGTTTGTGAAAATCATGTAATTAGTTTTCTTTATATTTAAGATTAATTAATTAATATTTAACCATTGAGAAATGTTCAGAAGCTCAATATTTCATATCACTAATCTATTTAAATCGTTATCAGACAAATACAATCTTGAATCTTCCGTATATAAAATACACTGCAATATTTGTGAAGCCTGAGTAATATCATTCATGTATACAATAAATAATAACGGTCATTTAAAATTTTAACAAAACACCTCGGGGGGGGGGGGGGGGGTGGGGGTTGAACCTCCCCCTCAAATTGTGTATGTGATGTGTGTAATTTTTGATGGAACCCCCCCCCTCAAATTTTTGTTGGTGCAAAAGGGTGACCCAAAAAGTAACCTTACCCCCCCCCCTTGAGTCTTTGCGAAATTTTTGGGCCCAAAAAAAATGTGTTCTTACCCCCCCCCCCCCCCCCCCCCCCCAGGTATGCAATTTATGAAAGTGAGAGATCTTTAAAAACTGTTCGAATGTGGATGATGATGTAATAATATATCAAACAATAATGATGGGTTCTTGTATACCTTTCATATCTGGTGAAATGCCACTCCTGGCGCCTCATTTTTTTTAATCATGGCAAATAGCATTATTCATAAACACCGCAGCGCTCCAGTATTTTAAAATATTAATATCTACCAGGTACCAATTTTCCTCACCAAGTGAGTTGAGTGACAAATGCAGAGTACTGTAAAGTCTTGCCATCGGGAAGTTATTGATGCAAAATAGATTCGAACCCCGTACTTCGTTTCCGCAACATTTCCATGAGACCACATCATCTCACTTTCAAATGCTCCCAGATCAGTTCGAGATCAATCTAATCGTGTTGAATTGAGACTGGGATCAGAGTGTTTCCTGCTGGATTCTTTAAAAGCAATTTTCTTGAGATTGGACTAAATTGTCATCGTATTATTTAATTATTGTCGTTATTGATATTGTCAGTGCATTCATAGGTCTCTTTAAAGGTTAACTTCCCGATAGGCATTGTCAACTAAATGGTTACAAACAATTCCATATAGTCCATACTATTAAGCTATATAGATAATTACAATGTAAAGAGCTTAGAAACGTAATATTATAAAGTGATATACAAATGTGACTTACTATTATTATTATGATTATTATGATTATTATTGTTATTATTGATATAATTATTACGGTTATTACTATGCAGATGTAAGGGAAGTCTTGGTCATCGGAGAGGATCTTGCAAGATTCGCCACAACGTTGCCAATTTGTGTTTCACTGATGACAACTTTGAAAATGCATAACTTTCCTACTTTTGACATTGCTCAAACTCTCACTAATTTCTTTCTCTTGTGTATTTTTAAAATAAATATGATTCCAGCTTATTATTCGGTGGATTTTCCCCTTTCATAATGGTGTCAATGCGTTGATAGGTGTCTAAAAGTCTTCCTGTTGACGGTATTGTCAACGTGATGCTTACAAAACCATTATGACACCAAATGGAGCTATAATGGTCGATGAGTGTAGGCATATAACCTGAAGTGATTAATCACTGCGTACATGTTCCCATGTGAAGGTTTACAGACCCTAGCATATGCATTTGTAAGAGTAATCTAAACTCTGAATCAGAACTATGGTGACTTGTGAAAGGAAGGTTATTGAAGTAATGATAAGCTGTTTCTTGAACTTTTCCTTCATGTAGCTGGATTGGGAAAGGCCAGAACCCGTAGAGATGAATCTCATTGCACAGAGTAGCAGCTAGGCTAACCAGGTACAGACCTGTAATACCAAACAGATGATAACTCGTATTATATTGCTAATAAATATAGAACGATAACACTCAATAGCCGTGTCTTGCGAGATCAATTCTGGTTAAAAATATGGGCAAAGTGGTGACTCCAATAGTACTATTGGAGCCACCGACACCCATAGTGTTAACCAGTACCTCGAAAAAAAAAGGCAGGGTATATATTTTGTTATATCCTGTATCAAAAAACAAAACAATTTTAAACAAATTTTATCACATTTTTAAAAAATTTACAAAATAATAAAGAATAACAAATACAATCTTACAATTTGAATTTGTTCAAAGACAAAATAATTGTTAAACCATTCCAATACCATTTTAAGATAAAAACATTATAATTTTGTTGTTCAACTCCTAATTAGTATTTCTTTTCCCAAATAGTACTCTCAAACAGTACCTTTTCAGAGCAACCTTAAAATGGTTGAAATATTTTTGGTCGCGTAAAGAGGTCTCAGCCAATCAAAAACCAATGGATTTTCGATGCAGGATATAATATCGTTTTACCCGCAGTGTCCACAGTATTATATACGTACGATTTCATTATACATTTAATATCTGGATAGTTAATATCTAGATCTACCGATAGATTAATTGAATCCTACAAAGTGTATTAAAATAAACATTTGCTTTTCTAGAAAACCAGTCAACCAGTTTTCCATTATTCTCGAAAATTATGTTCTTACAACAATACAACTGTGACACTGGTCAAATTACTTGGTATCACCATACAAAGTGATTTGAAGTAGGAAGCCCATGTCAGAGATATTGAATAAAGAGTGAATGCAAAACTATGCTCCGTTCTTTAAGAAAGTTCGGCCTTTCACATGAAGATCTAATTACTATTTTCATTGGCTATATTCGCCCAATCCTTGAATATGCAACTGAAGTTTGGAGCGGAGGCCCCACTGGTGCACCCAGACAACTCATATAGGAGATATTATATAGAAAGATTACAAAAACGTGCTTTGAGGATTATCTTCAGAAAGGACTACCATAGTTATGCAACCGCTCTTACTCAATCGAAATTACAAACATTGGAAAGTCGTCGAAATGACTTATGTGTTACCTTTTTTAAGAAAATGTTATCATCCACTGACCAATTCAAACAATTTATTCCAAAAAAAGTACACAATAGAACATTGCGAAGGACTAACAAGATCCCTGAACCCAAGTGCAAAACTGAACGTAAGCAGAATAGCCCAATCCCAGATTCGATCCGTTTGTATAACAAAAGATTTCTATGATTTTATTATACTTTGAAACAAATGAAATTGTCAATTTGTTTTTAAATTACATGTCTATATTCCTTAGTATATTATTAATTACTAAATCTGAGGTCTGATATATTACACAGTTATTCAATGTATCACTTTATGACATGAAGTATTCGATGCATATTTATATATCTCTAGTGTTCACCTTATAATATTCATTTTGTTTTGCAATGTATCTTTGTATTTTATCAGTATGTACATAGTCGTTGTTAAGAGCCCATTTTCTCTCTCTTTCTGGCCCCCTTCACTTTACCCCCCGTCCCCCTCCCCTCTCCCTCTCTCTCTCTCTCTCTCTCTCTATCTCTATCTCCTGTTTTCCCATCTCTCTGAATCTTTTCATCTCTCTTTCATTTTTAACTCAATTTTTTTGGTTGTAATATTGTATAAGATTAATGGTATCATGTACACGCTCTTCAGATTGTAGTGTGATATGCCTTGAAATGTATACTTGTCTTTTCCAACAACTTACTCAATGTGCAATTCAGTTACTTGTTACTGTGATATCTCTTGAAATGTATACTTGTTTTTTCCATCAATGTTTTATTCATGTGCAATTCAGTTACTTGTAACTGCGATACATAGAAATGAATCGATAAATACCATTTATCTATCTATCTAAGCTCGAAGTCATACAAGTATGATTAAATGTTGTCAGATGACTATATGTTTAACAAGTATTATTATATGATGATGATTGATGATGATGTTAATTATGAATCACTACTATGAAGTAATTATCGATATTGAGAATATTAAGCTTTACCTGTCGATGGTTTTTTCCTTAGACCACGCCTCTTCCAGAACTCCCATATACTGACGTAATGTGAAGGGTGACCAATCACGAGTCGAGAATCTACCTGATCATGATAACTAATAGCTTTGATACATGGTTCAACTAACTGTCTGGAGCCGAAGCATGGATACCATACCATGCTATCGTACTGCTTCATGAATGTGATGTAGGACTCGATCATACTCTCGTTCACGAGTCCACCAAATCTAATAAGACAAGATCATACAGAGTCCAATGAGATAATGCTCAAACAAACTTAAAGATAAATGTGAGTTTTGGTAATGCGATCGCATTGTGAAAGAAAAGGTGTGGAATGGATCAGAAAATGTTGATCATATAGCATGTAGGTATTGGTGTGTACTGCAAAGTCTGGACTCATCAAAATCATAATAAATTTGGCCCAGTCTTGGTAAAGTAACAAGCACTGTTCACAGAAAGATGTATACGGGACTACACAAATGGTGTCGGGGCTAGTACCACCTGGTTTTCTTATTTTTCTATGCTCATTATACTCAGCCAGTATACATTTTCTTCCAAAATTGTTTGGCACATGACATTTATTTATTATTCAGTGTAAGTTTTGTTTGATTCTGTGAGAATTCATTTTCTTTTTTTTTACCAGAACTCAAGTTTATCATTAATTCACCTAAACGCAACTCGAACAGCAGATGATTAGAAAAACTGAGGGTACATGTACAATGAATATAATAATGATGCTATGTAAGAGCGTCGACAAATTCAAACTTTTCGACACTCTTGTAAATAAATACACAATTTGTTATGAAAAATGAAAATAAGAGAATGATGGTGCGTATAGCACTATCAAAGTTCCACATTGCTGTCTCCTCCTTTTTTTAATATTTATGCAAAGGTAGAAAAATGTCTCCGCGGAAATCGGAGCAGGTCCTTGTTGCCAATGTTACAATACCACAAACAATAGCAACAAATAAGTTGCTATGTCAGACATGTCAGACTAAACTAATATTCTAGAATAGACAATGGTGGGTAATTTTCCCCAGGTTAGCACACGTTAAGAATAGAATTGCATGCTTCCATACATATGTACAATACATTATCATTGCCTTTGTCTTCCCACGGATGCTACAGCTGTCTGACATAGCAACTTATATGTTGCTATTGTATTACGTATTGTAACAGGTGGTCGACTTCGGCAAAGATACATACCACTTTCTCAAGTTAGCTCATTGATGACTGACAGATGATGTCAAAAGGGGAATGAGATCTGGAGGTTTTTGGGGTGGAGCTTAGCAAGTTTGAAAAACAAATATTTCAAAAAACATTTGAAAATCTATGAAACAAATTTAGAAGTTTACATATCAAAATATGAGATGTATGCTGCACACCAACAAGAATACACTTGTATTTCGATGTCATGGGCCCTTTAAGAGCGCGCCATATGGATATGAATCATACATGACTCGGTATATATTCTTTCAGTCCTTGAGTGTGTATGTATAAACAAAAAAAACTGCAAAGTTCCCAGTAAATGTTGTTTATTCTTACAATAGTGACTTACCGCTTATATAGTATACTAGGGTTGAAAGTAAGGAAGTCTGTTCGCTTCCCAGCATCCGTTACAAAACCTTCCAAGGGTGCTCCATTACATCTAAAATAAAATAAAAACAAAACAGAAACCAAACTTAGCATAATGATATGACAGACCAACATGAAAATAATTACTGACCAACATAATATCACAATATATATTAGACCAATTTAGTATAATATTACGGATTCATCTGACATTAACAAAATATGAGAAGAGACGAACCCCGCCCCCCCCCCCCCCCCCCCCCCACTCCGTGAACGGAGGGATACCATGCGTGTTCCCAAACTCTCCGGCTCGTAACAAAAGAAAAATGTCTACCCGTATTGACTTTACACACCGGACCGTTTTGCTGAAAAGGAGGGGGTGCTGAAAAAGGCTCGTATAACAAAAGAAAAAGGTCGACCCGTATTGACTTTACACACCGGACTTTTGCTTTAAAAAGGGGGGTGGGTCGCTGGGAACACGCATATGCGTACCCTAAATAACACTGAGTGGGGGGGGGGGGGCGGGGAACGAACCTAACAAAAAGACGCTCAGAAGAAGTCTCCAATAAAAAAACCTTTTAAGCTAACATTAGGAAGTGAATCTGTTATGTGTACGATCGGTCATTTTATGTTAGGAAATCTTGGAAGTGGAATACATCGTAGTAGTCGTACCTCAAAATATCATTACAGCATATAGACCTACAATTACAATGAACTGATATAATTTCAGTATTCTCAAGGGGTTTCAATGAACACGCGCTTGTCTTGAAATTAATCAATAATGATTGATCAAGTTGAATTTGCGATGTAAAAAGTTATCATGCAAAATTGTATAGCAAATGTATTTTGCAACATGAGGGTGAATCGTTATTAAACAATACCGTGTGATTTAAAAAATTTAGATTTATAAAATTGCTAATTATTTAAAAAATCATCTATAAATATATGAACAGTAAATTGATATACATCTTATGGAAGAGTGTTTTATCCCAAATCATTTGGTATCATTTTTGTGTGGTAGGTATTCACGCTTGGGTGAACATGAGGCATTGTGTGCGAGAGTGCAACAATCGACTTGCGCCAAAGTGATGCATACAGTATGTATTATGTTTGGATTAGCAGGGTGAGAGAATGAGTTGAATTCAAATGTTCAAAGGAAATGCATTGCATCTGCTTCTTGCAGAAGCAAAGTCACATACACACACATGCGCCCGCACAAATGTTCGTTGATATTTGATATTCGATATTTGATATGTGTGGCATGATTGATTTTTTTACGGATGTTATTTGGATCTGCAAAGACCGAATTAATACGCAAATCCCAATCGTTTTATTCAAGCATCACATACTGTAGGCAACTTTGGCGCAAGTCGATTTTTGCACTCTCACAAACAATGCCTCCTGTTCGTTCAAGCGTGAACACATACGGCACAAAATGATACTAAATGATGCGGGATAAAACACTCTTTCATAAGATGTATAATAGTTTACTGTTCATAGACGATTTTTTTAATAATTAGCAATTTTCTAGGTGTAAACTTTTTTTGACTCACGCTGTGCACATAGCAATCTCTTTGGAATTTAGAATGTAATGTCTTGATGAAATGTAATGTCTTGATAGAATGGCAGCTCATGGTCTTAATTTGCGAAATAAACGCAAGCACACAGAAATGATTAAAGTGCAAAACAGAGCGCCACAGATATAGCCTAGTGCCTAATAACTGATGCAGCTACTTAATGATCAATAATTTGTGCAATATTTTCCCTCTGAAATGTGGAATTAACGTTTACAAAATTTCTTTTGGCTCATTAATGTTTCAGCCCACGTTCACTCTTTTTTATATCGAAAATCTACATTGTGATGTATAATCTCGAAAAAGAAATTGAATATGTGTCACTTTTTAATGTCGATTTAATAGTATTGATATGCCCTTCTATCTCTCTCCCTCTCTCTCTCTCTCTCTCTCTCTCTCTCTCTCCCTGTCCCCCTCTCTTTCTTTCCCTCTCTCCTCATTTTTCATCATTTTCTCTCTCTTTTCTCTCTTTCTTTCTTTCTCTTCCCCTCTGTCCCTATTACCCCCTCTCTCTTCCTTTCTCTGTCTCTCTCACACTCAAACTGCCAAAATAATATCGACCGTAATATATTGTTTACTGTCTTTTGCTTTACTGATAATTTTGTACTCGATTTATGGCACTGTTCGCCCTTTTTCATTTTTAAAAGAGTTGAATATTTATCTCCTTTCAAATTTGGATGATATTTTAAATATGCCCTTCAATGCACGTCTACATGTAAGTTACTTTCTGTCGTTATAATGTATTGAATGTAGATCTTGTTGAAACTTTCTTATTCTCTCTAATTTTGTCATCGCACTATATCTCTCTCCCACTCGAATTCCATCTCTCTCTCTCTCTCTCTACATTATATATTTCCCTCCCTTTCTCATGCGCTCATCATTCTCTCTCTGTCTCTACCTCTGTTTCTTTCTCTCTATCTCTCTCAGTCTCCCTCATTCAGTGTTGCATAACAACATCCCTAGTATAGGATGATTCATCTATTTAATGTACTGACTTGAACCACGTTATGCTTTCAAATTCCTAACATTAATGAATATTTGTTTAATTTCAAATGCGATTTTACTGCTATTTTATAGTGAATCGATAGGTAATTCAGCTTTAGGGGTGCTATATAGTTTTTAATAAACCATTTTCAATTCAATAAAAAAAAGGCGATACGCAACGGTTTTTATTGGTTTAACCCTTTAAATTCCTAACGCAATTCATTATCTTTTCATCTAAATTAGGAGGAGAATATTTTAGAAATCTCAGGATTACATAACTCATATTGCGCAGTTTGTATCCTCATCACTCGATGTTTATTTCTTTTCATATCGGGTCTATTTCCTTGATATATTTTACATTGTACGATTGTTTTACTTGCAAAACATCAGCTCCAAAATAATTGCATAATTATTATATGCATGCTGCAATCAAATATGACGCGATCGCAAAGGCTAGCAAGAAATAAACTTAACGACAAATCTAACACGAAATTGCTTTGACCATACATTAAGTCATTGACATGTTCGCTCATATCAAAAGGTGGGATCGATCTACAATGCTATGTTAATTGATTAATGATATGCACTAATAGTCTATTGTCATAACTTAAATGAAAACAAATATGTGTGTCTGGTTTTAGAATATTTGAATGGTAAAGCTTGATTCTTATACCTGAATACGAAGTCCATGCCATCTATCTGTGAACCACAGGTACTTTGCTTTAATGATCCACTGTTTCCTATGACAGCACACTTCTCGTAGCGTTTCCCCTTTAATGGCGATTCCTAAACGCACAAAAAGAGAAATACATTTGAAACATCTTCTCTCTTAGAATCTTAAAAATCAACTGCAAATTTGAGATATTTATTAAAGATAAACTCCAGTACTGGTAAAAAAAAAAAAAAAAAAATTCTCACAGAATCAAACGAAACTTACACTGAATGTTCAAGATTACAAATAAATGATATGTGCCAAACAATTTTGGAAGAAAATGTATACTGGCTGAGTAATGAGCATAGAAATACAAGGAAATCAAGGTAGTACTAGCCCCGACACCATGTGTGTTGTCCCATATATAGCTTTCTATGTGAGTGCTTATTACTTTACCAAGACTCGGTCAAATTTATTATGATTTTGATGACTCCAGAACCTTGCAGTGCTCACCAATACTTACATGCTACATGATCAACTGTTTCTGATCCTTTCCACACCTTTTCTTTCACAATGCAATCGCATTACCAGTACTAAAGTTTATCTTTAATATTCAAGTACATTTGGGCGTGGTCTTTGATACTAAATTTGTCATGGTCACATAACCCGAACATTTTTCTAGAGTTATCACCAAATTTATGATTTTTGGCAAGTGAACTATTTCCTTGGAATTACCCAAATGTTCCCAATACGAACTTTTGGTGCATTGCTCAATCATCTTACACTATATATATAATCTATCAACTAAAACATTGGACTTACGAGAAAGATTTAAAGTATTCAAACTCCAGGATTGAAAGTAATGATCATACCTTCGGCAATGTAGACATGAAATCCTTGGTAGCCACGAAGTGTGGATACTTCAGCATTGATTTTTTAGTGTCGAAGTAACATGGCATTTCTTGGTCAAGCTGGACATTGGTTTGGGTCAAGATGAGATCACGATCTGTACTGACATTGGTCTCTGCATTCAGCTCACGTCTAGAAACAAACATGTAAGAGCAGTAGCTCCTTTATTAATTTGTTCCACCATAAATTAGAAAGACTAAATGAATACCTCGATTTTAGAGATAGAGAGAGAGAGAAAGTGGGGTGGGGGGGGGGGGGTCATGCTTCGATTGATGAAATTGAAAAGAAGGCAATAAGTTATAAAAACAACCGTGAGAGAAAGATGATCGAACCCCCCCCCCCCCCAAAAAAAAAAAAAAAAAAAAAAAAAAAGTATATTAAAGTTTTATTTAGCACTCCATCTTTTGCCTTTTTCTATTTATTGTTGTTGTTGTTGGTTGTTTTTTTAATTGTGTGTAAAATAATTAAATGCACCACACCGGTGGTAACATGTCTGCAAATTGTGTGACCAAATGAAAAAAGAGTTGTCAGGGTTTTTTGGTGTGCAGCTTGTGACACCCCCCCTAATTGTGGCACGTGCTCCCTTAGATCAGCCACTGAAACTTTCCCTCCAATGATTTAACAAAAATAAAACCTACCTAAAATTATCAAGGTGTTGTGGATTGGCCTTCCAAGGAAGCTTTTGCAGAAGATTGGCATAGAGATAAATTCGCTCTGCATCACTGTTGTTGAAAACCCATATTTGCTTTGTAAAATTTGAAGACCTACAAATCATCAAAATAAAATGAACGATGAACACGAGGTTCTCACGATATTTAGAAAATGAATAGTCTTGACCTACTAGCATCTTGGTTATCATCTCCATATCAACCATAATAACCACAATCGCAATTATCATCATCGCCACCATACTCATCATTATGATGGTCATCATCGCCACCGTACCCATCAATATGATCGTCCTCATCGTCAACATCAACATCATCATCATGGTCGTCGTCTTCATAATCAGATAATGTATAATGTTAGATGCAACTTGTCTTTGATAAAACAATGACATATTCTTTTTCACGTGAAGTTAATTCAAATGAATTGTAAAATTGAAAATGATTTGTTATATAATATTCATTTTTTATGTGATGTTAACTTCAATGAATTGTGAAATTGTGAACATGCATAAATAAATAAATAAATAAAAATAAATAAATATAGAATGAACTTTGCTCTAAAAGTTCACAGCTTGTTTTTATAAACATGACAATAAATTATGTCTATTTTCATATTTAGTTGCTGCCTGATTTGGTGAAGGGCGTTGGTTTATTTTCTTTAAGGGGTGGGGGGGGGGTTGTGACACTTATATATTACGTTTCTTTTAAAAAGGAAACCCAATTTTCTCCAGCGAATTCTTGTCAAATAAACATAACTATATTTATCCTACTACATACTGAATTGGGATTATTTATCCCCTTTCTTATTGTGTGATGATATAGTCTGGAACCATCAAACTAAAACAACACGAAACAAGCTATGTAAACATTGATTTTGCCACAAGGTTGGGGTCTATCTAAATTAATCAATAATGAATTCATTAACCCTCTCTCTGTTTTCGTTTTATTTGTATCTTTCAATCCCATTGCATGTAAGAACTTCTATCTCATTCAAGTTGCATACACGTTGAAAGATAACTTAAAAAATAAGAACTATGACCCATCATTGCTCTTTGTCTTAACCTTTTGTTTGTTTGTTTCTTTGCAATAGAATTACAACATGCATTACTTCTGTGCGTAAACTACTTTTGACACCACTCACTTAAACGATTTTCATAAGGAAGAAGATAAATTTATCTTTGAAATGAATAATAAGAATTAATCATGACATAATCGTTTCGTCTGTAATTGATTGTAAAAAAACACACTGGTATAAATTGATTGTATCACCGCTTTCTGATGAACCTATATAATATAAGGATGATGGGATATGTCATGGCTTTAGGGGGCAGCATGCATCTCCACCAAAAAAGGGGGGAGATGTTGTAACTAAGGCATCAAAATGAACTAGATCAAAGTGGTGTATTTGAGAGGAAGCACCAGTTGAATAACGTTTTTAGACAATACCTAATAAAAAGCCCCCTGTGCCTTTAAAATATAGCCATATGACCATATTGACGGTATTTGAAGCATTATTGATTAATGACCTACATTTCGGTGGCAACATTTCTGTCATTAGGAGACAATATGCCCCATGTTCCCAACTGTCGTGTCTTAATTATGCATCATTTTATGTTCGTTTATTCATCCGTTTTATGGTTTCTATGTGAAGAATTATTTATGGGAGAGGGGGGGGGGGTTGTGAAGGTAATTACCCCTGGTATACTGCATAATTACGTAAAACTTAAACATCCGCTTTATTTATTACGTACTCGTTAACGTTTCCATGCATGCTCTCGAACATAAAATGTGAAAGAATAGGTGGAGTTTTTCGTTTTCGTGGTCGCCTGGTGTATGAGATCGTCGATAACAGCAGATAATAGAGCAGAATCGTAGACAGGACTGCGATGACGAAACGACGTGAATGTTGACGACGTCGAAACGTGGTTAAAAGTCGGAACACTGAGTAAAAGAAAGGGTTATAACATTAAAATGTTACCCTTGCCATTGTTATGTTACGGGGGAAATAATTTTACAACAATGTAAAGCGTTTAAAAACTTAATATTAAGCGCTGTAAAATGTCACTGTTATTTTTAATGTAATATTAGATATTCTTCATCATTCATAACCCAAGAAATAATGTCTTTCAGATTGTGCACGATGTTCAACTAAAGGACTTAATGTATAATTTTCATGTTATAAACTCATAATGATTTCTTTTTAAGTATGAACATTGTATTATTTTTTATATTTCTGTTATTGAAAAGATAAATAAAACCTCAGTTCAATTCAGTTCAATTCAGTTCATTTATAGCGGAGATGTTTGCTATACAGTAGCAGTCATGAAGTCACGACCAACTTGAAGACATACAAGGTTCATGACGCCTATACGGTCGCCATTTTCCTTCATTCTATACTATAGAATGAAGGAAAATTTATTGAATAAATAAAGGTCTGAAGTATCACACTACATCATTCTATATGACCCCAAAAGTACAACAAACAGCAATGGGATAAATACAATTTTTTAACGATCACTCTTTTCCCGAATAGCTCTTTGTTGTGATTTTCAGTCGTGAACCATTTTCCTTCAAATCATATATTATTGAATATTAAATCGATAAAATGTATGAACCAATTTTTGTAATAACACCGTGTTAACAACGTTTTAAAAGGATAGGGCAATGAAGAGTGCGATACAGATATTGCCTTTTCATATAATATACCCTCAAGCTACGATATTTATCATAAACTTTCATTTGCACAGACCAATGTTTGTGTCTCGAGAAAGTTTTATTTTGTTGATAGGTATAGATCCATCCTTTAGTGACTATACTTCGAACTAACAAAAATATCTTCGTTTCTCACTGAATCAGCTCTCTTACTTGATATGTTGGTTCTTGGAAGGAACTGCAAACAGCAAGTTGTTTAAACTATATAGTACTGTACGGTAATCATCAAAATACTCACTATCTTCAAATATCGATCTTGTCAAATAAAATAATTACCTGTTGAATAAAACAGCTTTTTGTGATTATCGGAAAATGAACACAATAACAAACCTACCTTCTGCTGAAAGTCTTTGTAAACACCATCTACAGACAGTAAATGAAGCCAACGTTCTATCCAGCAATATTTCTCCAAACATATTTCAATTAGAAATTCACTTTCAAAGTAGAAATAAGATGAATGATGGCAGATATCCAGCGGAGAGAATGAAGTATACTGATGTCCCGATGCTTTCCTCCGTTCATCAATGAGATAGCATGAACTATAGGATGAAGGCATAATATGAAATGATATATGATAATGATATGGATCAGGGATGCCAGGTAAAATGTCAAAGGTAAAAATTTCAGAGGAACAAACGTCAGAGATAATAATTTCAGAGGTAAAAATGTCAGAGGTAAAAATGTCAGAGGTAATATCATCAGAGGTAAAAATATCAGAGGTAATAATGTCAGAGATAAAAAAATGTCAGAGGTAAAAATGTCAGAGGTAAAAACGTCAGAGGTTATAACTGTACATCAGAGGTAAAAATATCAGAGGTAATAATGTCAGAGGTAAAAAATGTCAGAGGTTATAACTGTACATCAGAGGTAAAAATTTCAGAGGTAATGTCAGAGGTAAAAATGTCAGAGGTTATAACTGTACATCAGAGGTAAAAATATCAGAGGGAATACATTCAGAGGTAAACATTTTAGAGGCAATAATATCAGAGGTAAAAATGTCACAGGTAAAAATGTAAGAGGTAATATTAAACATCAGAGGTAAAAATATCAGAGGTAATAATGTCACAGGTAAAAATGTCAGAGGTAATGATGTCAGAGGTAAAAATGTCAGAGGTAATAAAATCAGAGGTAAAAATATCAGAGGTAATAATGTCAGAGGTAATAATGTCAGAGGTAAAAAATGTCAGAGGTTATAACTGTACATCAGAGGTAAAAATATCAGAGGTAATAATGTCAGAGGTAAAAATGTCAGAGGTTATAACTGTACATCAGAGGTAAATACGTCAGAGATAATTTCAGAGGTAAACATTTTAGAGGTAAAAATATCAGAGGTAATAATGTCACAAGTAAAAATGTCAGAGGTAATGATGTCAGAGGTAAAAATGTCAGAGGTAATAAAATCAGAGGTAAAAATATCAGAGGTAATAATGTCAGAGGTAATAATGTCAGAGGTAAAAATGTCAGAGGTTATAACTGTACATCAGAGGTAAACATATCAGAGGTAATAATGTCAGAGGTAAATACGTCAGAGATAATAATTTCAGAGGTAAACATTTAAGAGGTAATAATATCAGAGGTAAAAATATCAGAGGTAAAAATATCAGAGGTAATAATGTCACAGGTAAAAACGTCAGAGGTAATGATGTCAGAGGTAATACTTCTCCCTTTCTTTGTATACGCAGTACAGTAAGTCGGATGAGGTATATGCCCAGAACTAGAATTGATGGTTTATCCGTAAAAGAGTTGAACAGCCGAGTTTAACTTTTTGGAACACACCATCTGGATATATTATTACTTTGAATTATATCACACGACTAAATCAATTTGGCTTGTTGGGCGAGTAATAACCGAATTCCTATTGGTCTAATAATGGGCTGTAATTTTGTGGGAAGATAATTATATTAGATATTTACTCTTCAGTGTTAAGGTAAACAATTCTGTGGTAGTTTTTATTCTATTGAGTTGTGTCTGGGGGCGGTCGGTGGACCATTCATGATGGTCAGTGATGTGAATCCGCGAGGACAATTAAAGTCGACCTCCCCTACTCGGAACCAATGCTACTTGAATATACATTTTCTTTTCGTCCATTAATTTTCCCATTAATTTACAATGGTCTGTTAGTTCTTTTCTTTGCTCTGCATCATAATCTAGAAACGTTTTGTTTCGTTTTTTTGTTAAGCACAGTGGCATACTTCAGCCAAATAGTTGTTCGTCAACATGGCCGTGCATATAAAATAGAAATCACAATTTTACCAATTTTAGGGATACACATGTACGTACGAAAAGTCGATGAATAGGAAAAGACCATGCTGTACACAGGAAGTATATCAATAAACCAATTTCAGATATAAACCCTCCCGTTTACACAATTCTATATGAATATGCACGTGCATGATGATTTTAATCGTAATGTTGATTAGACGACTAATATGGAAAAATTAAATTTTGAGATAATTTTTGCTGAGTTTAAAGGAAACCAATTCATATATTTGCCAGTTACCAATCAGCCTAGAGTTACTTTGTTTAACGAGAATTATCTGGTCCATTTTTTGTTTGTTTTTGTGTTTGTTTGGGGGGGGGCATTAATATTACGGGAAATCATTAACTGTATTAGAGGGTTTTGATATTGAGAACCTATTATCGGCTGACTACAGTTCTCAAGAATATGTTTCCCCCTTTGGCTGATTACTCACATTATGTTTAGAATCTGAATGTTTAGAATCTGAACAGGCACTGATCCCTACAAATTTCATTGATAATTTGGCTATCCAAAACAAAACAAAAAACATGCCATTTCGATTTATGATACTGGTAAATAAACTTACACACACACACACACACACACACAACACACACATCCACGCACACGCACACTCACATACATACTCACATAAATAATTACAAACATGTATATATATATGTGAGGCAATAGGAAGAGAGTCAGGGAGTCAAAATAAATCTTCGCCTTAAGTTAGGTCACTAACGTTTCGGTCACAGAGATTCATGATGAAATTTTAATCATCTTGAAATAAACATTCAACATTAAAAGTGGGATATGAATGTATCTCGTAGTATTTTTGTTTTGTTGGAAAAATGGAGGAAATCGGGAAAGGTAACTCATTTTTAACTATTCGGAACATAATACCGAGATACCAACGAATCATCTATTTCAAAAATGTAACTTGTAAAAAACAAGAGGTAAGTGTGGGAACGAAACTAGACATTATGGATTATTCTCACTATGCACACTTCTGTAAAATTAATATTCGATCAATAACTCATAACGTGCCAAAAACATAGTTCCATGAATACGCTGAACAGCCATGCACACATAATCTCTCATTCGCTCGCGTGCCACGTACATATTTTTGTGCAAAAGTACACAGGCTAATAGGCCATTTTCGTAATATAACCATATGTTATGCATAAGTCTATGTCAAGTGCCTCGATACAAGCTATTTCATTCACCTGATAAGAATAATAGCATTTCAATAGACAGGATCCGAACTGCATAAATTAGTTGTTGCCAGGTATAAGTAGGACAAATATGGCTTAACCTACCTAGCAACACTTAGTATATGCAGTTTGCATTCTGACTATTGAAATACTATTATTCTTTAATATCAGGTGAATGAAATAATTTGTATTGATCTACTGCACTAAGACTTATGCATTAAATTTGGTTACATTACGAAAATGGCCTATTGCGTTTGCCTATTGTGCGATGTGCATTGTGTGTACACACGAAAGCTTATTGTATTTGTGTAGAGCGTTAATTGTTGATAAACAATGACAAAGTAATTGGTTTCTTTTCTATAAAACATTTACACTTGGACATTTAAAAAAAAATGATGAGTGTAATAAGCACAGTACTTTGTTGTGTTCACTGTACATTTGCTACGTACAGAAACCATAGAAACCACACAAACCATGGTTTTACAACCCACTGGCAAGTAGGTGAATTTTCTACAGCTTTTATATGCAATTTCTTTTTATACAACATAAGGATGAGAAGTTAAAGTAGATCAAACATAGTGAGGATTTATAATACACGCACTTGAACAAACCCTGAAATAAACTTGGCACAGGGGGGAATTTGTGGCTGGCACAATATGAAATTCAAATTGTTTGAAGAAGTAATCTGTTTTTGCATGATGTAAAATACTAACTAAGGTATTTTTATGAGTCTTATATTTGTTTTCGTTTGACTCTGTTGGCTTGGACTTGAATTTGTAAAATAAGCGATTTTTCCTATTGATTGATCGAAAAAAGGGATTTTGTTATCTATGGAGATCGTGGTGTCTTTCTTTAATTTGAGTTCCTAATTGTATTTTGAACAGGTAAGCCTCTTTCATAATATCGAGTGAAAGTTTCAAGAAACTTGAAGTTTAAATGCTTCATTTTGCATCGCGAGAATTTAAAACCTCAACCCAGTCAAGTCAACTTGAGATTTGTTTAAATGTAAAGACCAGTTATGGTCATGCGATTGCATTGTGAAAGAAACGTTGTGGAATCGATCTGAAAAGGTTGATCATCTAGCATCTAGCATCTGCAAGGTTCTGGAATCATCAAAATGATAAGAAATTTGGCCCATTCTTTGTAAAGTTACAAGCTCTATACACAGAAAGATGTATATGGGACTACCCTATATCTCTCACAGACCATGAGAGAAACAAATTTACCAAATATATGAATTAGTAGGCGGTTTCCCGGCAAATTTTTTATCATCATGTATTAGTCAAAACATTTTCTTTCACATGATTGGTAATGAGAGCTTCCATTTCATTTTTTGAAATTGGGGCGTTTCCAATACTGGTCTTTACCTTTAAATTAATCAATATTTTCACCAGCCAACTTCCGTGGTTTAGATGATTGCAAGATAGGTAAGTGAGAATATATTGGAAAATGATCACTTATATCTGATATTATGATACCAGAAATAGCTTGAACATAAATAAACGAGGCTGTTGTCTTTGTTATTTGAGGAGGCTTATTTTTGAGAGACGTATAGGATTGCGAGGGCGAAATGTCCAGAAATTCATTGCAGAATAAATTAGTATTTTCATCAAGAGGATTTATATTAAAATCTCCCATAATAAAGGAAGGCCTAACTCGTAAATAATTTGAGGATATTATCGTCTTTAAAGAAATAATGAAATCGTCGTGATATGAATTTGGTGGTCGATTTACAACTACTACCACGATATTTTTCCTGTTTGGAACAGTAATTTCTATGCATAAAGCCTTCAACTGCATCTGTCATGAAAATTAATTAAATTCGGATATTACTTTGTAGTTTAATGAAGTAGAAATGTACAATGCCACTCCGCCACCGCGTCTATCTATTCAATTATTAACGGCCATTTCATACCCGTTAGAAAAACATAAGTGAGGTTCATTATGTAACTATGTTTCGGACAAACCTAAAACTCGCATATGGAAACTGTTGACTAGATAAAATGGATTTCATATGTTCAATATTTTAAATAAAGCTTCTAAAATTGAAGTGCACCAGTGAGAAAGTATTGTTTAACTCTGAAGAATGTGAAATAGACTGATTCATAGTAAAATATCGGGAAAATGGGAGTGCGGGAGCAGGGTCATTTTGATCGACACATTATACAAAGGGGTCAAGTCCCTAAGTTTTCTGACTTAGCAAGCTTCATCAAAATTTAGAGAATCAGCATCAAGCGAACCACTTTCGTTTGAATTATTTAGTGTACGATGAGAATCATATGATGAAACTAGTAATTAGTCGTCGTCCTGTAACATATACAATGGGAATATATTCGTATCATTCAATTAGTCTTTTTTAACTACGTTTTAAGGCGAACATTAAATGAATGATCAGTTTCGGAAGGGTACTCAGATGAGTGCTCTCGGGGGGAAGAGAAGCTAGAGATAGGGGGAAAAGGGTGTCCCTTTTTAAGCGTATAGAAAGAGGGAAATGAGAGCAAAGAAAAGCTAAATGCAACACAACGAAAATGCATTAAGGGGTAAATACAATTAAACATTTTTCCTGAGAATGTATAAATGGAAAATAGCATGATGAAAGCAGTTAAAAATAAATCTTGATTTTATTAAACTACTGAACAAATAATTCGAATTCAATGTGATGATATCAAAAAATATTTGACGGGGGTAGAATTCGTAGAAAGAGCAGTTTTTGTAGAACAGGAAAAGAGGGAAGAGGGGAGTGCTTTATTCAAACGGATGTGATCATTCAATCTCTATCATAAACAAAAAAATGATTTCTTTGGCATCTTGCTAACCTGGCAAATGTATGGAAGAGAAATGGTAACAAAATAATAATTATGCAAATAAAGTAGTATAACGTAACCTTACATGACCTCGTCTATTGTTGGTTGATTAGACTTTGAAAACATAAGGTACACCTGATCCATCACGCCACTTTTCAGCGGCAAAGCACAGCTTCACATCCTGATCATAGAGTTTCTTTACCTCGGCCGACCATAATTATGCATCTTCGTTTTTCCGTTAGGTCATCTTTGGCGTGGTCGTCAGTGAAAAATAAAGCGTCCTTTGCCAACGCGGAGCGCGCCTTCTAACATGATATCAATCTTATGCCGATAAGACTGAAGTTTGATGAGAATATGCCGAGGACTCTCCTTGCGCTTTCCATCGCGAGGAGCCCACTCGACCTGTTGATTTCGAATTTCTCGTGAACGATATCGTCTGTGATCTCGATGCCGTTGCTCACGCTGGTCCGCTGCTTCTGGATAGCCTACAAGGCTCATGTTATTCATTCGTGAGAAACGTTCAGCCGTGTTGATTACTGCTGCATTCGATGCCGCTAAAGCGGGAAGTGGAGCTAGCTCTTTCTCCAACTCTGACCCTGACATCCCTTTATCCAGGGTTGAATTTTTCTTTTCCAGCTCGGATATGGATTCAATGGAGTCCGTGAGGTAATTACTCTCAGCTCGTTTGATACTTTCAATCAACGAATTAACAGCCTTCCTAGTATCACCCGCCGCAACAGAGGTATATACATAATAGTCCGAGAGATGCTTTTTCGTCTGCCACGAAAAAACACGGGCGTCAATGCATGCATAACGTTATAAGCCTTTGTTCTAATTACGTTTCAGTTTGCTTTGTTTCTATGTTATGTACAAAAAGGAATTAGAGTTTTGAGAAATAATTTTAATGAATACAAAATAAACGTTTGCTATGTCATTAATATGTAAAAACATTGAAATCTAGATGATGAGAACTACATAAATACACACGAGGGGGAAGAGAGAAAGGAACGTCCATTAAAGCCTCAGTTTATAGAAGAAATAGATGTAAAATATACTGCTTCATTCCGCTTCATCCACATCATTAAATCACATCACCTTCTTTTCTCCTCCCGTTTGCCTCTAACACTTCTTCTCACAAACAAAGAAATTAACCTCAAACTACATAGTATACACATACACTCGTTTCTTCCTTTTACATTTAAAAAAAAAATCTCACTTCCATGTTTAAAATCCCAAATTTGGCATACTACATCAAAGCGACACATAATACAATCTCACCCAAGCTAGACGCCAGCTGCTATTCTAACCTTCGTAATGTAAATTCCAAGAGATCGTTGACAATGTAGAGACTCCTTCGACGATGAACAATTTGTCGGAAGAAGATTAATTCATCAATAAAGCTACTCCTATCTGCTTCAGACCCCGCAGACGCAATCAAGATGGCGGCTAATAGAAGTCACGGTCAAACTTTGGCAGTGATATATCCATGTATAGTAAATAATGCGGGCGTACAGTGCGAATGAATGTCGAGCAGGGATATAAAAGAATATGATAATAATGAAAGGCACCGCTGCACCGTGTAAATAAAATGGTATGAATGGGAATAATATTGTGGTGGTTATACACTACCTTACAATTACTGTAAGTCAACAGGCGCGGCGGTGAGACGTGATCTAGGTTCAACCATTTAAATACCACACGGCCCAGTCTCGTAGTTGTTGTTGTTTTAGTTTATAGGCGTTTTTCATACCTGGTGAAGTCTAGTCTTATTTCAAGTAGTTACAATAACGACATTACACTACAAATAACAACAGGCTTTCATTCGGTCCCTTTTCCATAATAAAATCTTATCAGTGACAAAGAGGAATGTCTGATAATAGTATAGGCCTATGCTACTGAAGTCCTTGCATTTGTCAATTGGCTGTGATTTTTTTTTTTTTTTTTTTTTTTTTAGATCATTTTTGCAATTGTAATTGATAATAAGTCTAATGAATAGGGCCCATGATTATTTTGGTAGCATCAGTCATGGGATACAAAGGATCTTGTATTTCTGGAAATGATCTTGATTACCTGGAAAGGGGCACTCACCTGAGATGAATAGAGGCACTTGTGAGAATGGAAAGGGGCACTTATTACAAAGGAAAAGGGGAACCTATTGAGAAGTGGGACTCATCAAGGATGAAAAGGGGCACTTATCAGAAGGGGAAGGGACAACTATTAGAAATAAAAAGGGGCACTTATCTAAGGTAAGAGGATGCACGTTTCCTTTTTAAAATGGGGCACTTTAGGGGTACTTGAAAAAGCGTGAGTGGGGGGGGGGGCGTTAACTAGTCTAGTCAAGACGTTTTACTGTTCACTTAGAATATACTCAAATTGCAATATCTCTTTGTAGCAGAAAAACTGTATGTGCGTGTGTGTGTGTGTGTGTGTGTGTGCGCGTGTGTGTGCGTGTGTGTTTGTGTGTGTGTTTGTGTGTGTATGCGTGTCTTGTGGTGCATGGTAGGGGGTAAAAGGGTATTTGGTTGGATGGGTTATTTGTTTAATGTTACAACTGATTTCATTTTTTTCATCAATCGTACAATCTATGTATTGAATCATGTCAACATGAAAAACAACTGTATTTCTAAGAATGATTTTTATTGTTTCGGAATCTATTTTTTAAAAAAAATTATTATATCACTATTATCATCAGCATCATCCTTTGTAATCATCAATGACAGTAGGGTATGTAGTAATAAGCCTAGTAGTAGTGATATCGTTCTGATCCTTAGTCGTCCTGAAGATCTTTTACAATACGTCATGTACACATGATTGATTGCTATACCAAAACTCTTAATTCGTTGATGAAATATTATCATGAGAAAAGAAGAAGGATTAGTTTTCAAGTTTTAAAATAGAGTACAATTTAAAAAGGACACAAGTGTAGGATATAATCATGACAGTAGAAAATATGTCATGAATTAATGACTTCAATTTGTATCTGGCTCGAGGTTTACTTGGGGATTTGATAAGTGAAGAACAACATTGGGTAAAATGCACCTATTTACATCATTGCATTATCTCTTATTCATTCTGTTTCTAATGTTTTCTGATTGTTTTCAAGACACTATCAGGTTTGTCGATTACAGTTCTATGTAGCTTGATGTTTCAGGGTAATTTCTTTTTGGAAAAGCAATCTAAACAACGATTGCTGAATTTTAGCGACAATCGTTCGCCATTGCTGCTCGTCAATATCAATATGACATGCAGCAGCAAATTGATATTTGAGAACTCGTGGCAATTTAGTTTAACAGTCTATTCCCCTCGATTGATTCTATTGTTCGGAATATTTGGCATTGAGAGAGAGAAGTTAATGGTCTTAAACGAAACGACGTTTTATTAGTATCCTTATTTGTCTATAAGTCTCTACCGAGCCATTTGAATATTTTTCTTTACAATAAACGACACCGTGAAACTAACTTGATAGCGTTACCTGGCAGTTGAAAGAAAACTGAATTTGAACCCGGGCAATACCCTCTCTCTTTCTCTCTCTTATGTTTAGCAAATCAATACTTTAGAACTCGTGATAAATTCATTTAACAGTTTGTTCCCCTCGGTTGATTTCATTGTTCGGATTATTTGGCGGGGAGAATGATGGAAGTGAATGTTCTCAAGCGTAAAGGTGTTTTTATTATAAATGCTATTTGAAAAAATTATTGAAAATATACGACGCCGTGGTACTACTTTCGAGGTCATGATTCGGGACTGAAGGTCTAATAAAGGTTTTCATTTTTATTTGATTTTTTAATCTCCGAATTCACAATAAAAACATGGTATATATATATATATATATATATATATATATACAGAACATTTACAACATAATATAAATAAACATTTAACAAACATAATATACAGTGTAAAAAGAAAAGAAGAAGACAAAATTAAATCGGAAAGACACCCATTTCAATCGAGCCAAAGAGACAAGACTGCTCTTGCATGGGGTTCAGGATGATTGTTATAATATTAAATATATATTCTGTAGTGAGGTACACGTGACTAAAAAAATTAAAAAAAAGAAAAGAATCTTGCAGAAATTGTCAAAGGAAAAAAAATATATATATATCCTTAGTCCAGCTTTTGATACCAGAGACGAAGGCAAATTGCCATTTTGAAAATAGATTAAGACTACATGGGAATTTTAGATTTGCGGGAGATTATTGAATTGAACAGCACCTCTGTAAGATAACGTACATTTACAATAATCTGGGTTTTGCTAACAATAAGTTTCCATGAGACCTAAGAGAATAGTTGTATTGACATTTTTATTGGAAGCAGACTTTGAAATACGGAGGAGCAAGGTCATTCAAAGCCTTATAAACCATAGTATTCGGATGACAGCAACGTCTAGTCGTCAAAGATTTCCAGCCTAAGCGAGCATGTAATTTCCTGATCGACACATGTATATAGGGATTTATTCCAAGTATGATTCGCCATGCCCTGTATTAATTAAGTTTCTGTAAAGAGTTGACATATTTAGTACAATATCACCATAGTCACAAATAGGAAGAAAAATGGCATTATACACATTTTTCATAATAGATAGATCAATAGTATGACGCAATCGAACGAATAAGCGTATGAGATTACTTATCCTAGAACACATGCCATCAATATGCAAATTCCACTTTAAACTAGGATCTAACAACATACGAAGATACTTCGTAGATTGTACATGTCATATATTTAGCCCATTTACATTCAAGTTCAGCTTGCTACATTCAGAAAACATTCTGTGTGAGCCAAATAACATGCTTACTGTTTTCTCAAATTGAGGCTCAGTTTGGAGTTACACAACTACTTAAATATTCTATTCAGTTCAAAATTTAACACGGACTTTATAGTTGGGACGTTTCTGTGAGAGAAATGAATTACTGTGTCATCAGCATATGTGAATAGATCATTTCTTTGTATGTTTAACAATATCATTAATATAAATTATAAACATAAGCGGGCCCGATATACATAATTGGGGAACCCTGTAATCTATATTCGACTATGATGATGTGGATGAGTTGAATTGGGTATCATGATAAACAATCAGATGATACACCAATCATAGATAGCTTGTTCAAAATAATATCAGGACCAACGGTGTAAAACGCTTTATGCAAGTCTATAAATACCGTGTCAGTGTACAGACCGTGGCCTATAGCAGTTACCAATCATCGGTTACTTTACCAGGGTGGTAATGGTCGACTGTTTTTTTTCTAAGAAGGCTTCGGACAAAATATTATTACATCTCAAATAATCAGCTAATTGTAATTGAACGAGTTTCTCGATGTTTTTGGATACCGAAGGTAGAATAGATATCGGTATGTAGTTATTTTGTGATTTGTTATCACCCGATTAATAAACCGGTATTACTTTAGATCTCTTCCATCTGGTGGGAAATACGTGTTCAGATAATGATCTGTTAAATATGAGTGTCAATGATGGTGAAATAGTAGGAATTGCCATTTTCAACATAATCATATAAATATTATCAACACCTATAGACCTATTACTATTCATCCCTAAGATTATTTTCTTAACATCATCCTCTGTAACAGGATTAAATTCAAAACATGAGTTAAAAGAGCTCTTCATTACCTTATCACCACGAATTGTATTCGAAGTTGGAATAGCAGAAGCTAGTTATGAGCCAACATTAGTAAATATGTCAACACACTATATTTTGGTATGATTATGATTTACAATTTGTAAGTTTAAATTGACGTTAAAATCAAGCTCTTGAGTACGTAAAAGGCACATTAATCTTGTCTTTCTCAGGTCGAAATTCCAGTTGATACCAGTTGAAACCAGTAAGGATTTCGAACTGGTATCTGCTGGTTTGAATTGGTCTCAACTGCTCACAACTGGTACCAGTTGATACCAGTTGATACAATTTGGAAACCAGTAGAAATACCAGTTGACATCTGAGACCAGTTTATATTACCAGTTGATTTACCAGTTGGAAACCAGTAGATGATTACCAGTTGATTTATCAGTTGAAAACCAATAGATGATTACCAGTTGATTTACCAGTTGAAAACCCGTAGATGCTTACCAGTTGATTTACCAGTTGAAAACCAATAGATGATTACCAGTTGATTTACCAGTTGGAAACCAGTAGATGCTTACCAGTTGATTTACCAGTTGAAAACCAATAGATGATTACCAGTTGATTTACCAGTTGAAAACCAATAGATGATTACCAGTTGATTTACCAGTTGAAAACCAATAGATGATTACCAGTTGATTTACCAGTTGAAAACCAGTAGATGCTTACCAGTTGAAAACCAGTAGATGATTACCAGT